AACTTTGGGGAGGGACAAGAAGGGCCTGTATATTTGTTTTACCAATAACATGTAATGGTAAGGGAATGGTCATGGCAGCCCTCCATCAAGATTCTTTAATTAAAAATGCACCATTTAATGCCTCTTGCCCTCTGTTTTCACATTCAGACATGTGTGGGTTTTCTTTTTCAATCTTTTTTCAAGCAGGTTTTTACTTGTTTTACTATTACATTTCTTAAAGTCTCCAGCAAATTAAATGCTCTTTCCTCCAAAATATTAAATTAGATTTTTCCAGATGGGCAATGTTAACGTTTTCCTTATCTAGGGAGGATTAATTTTATTGAAATATAATCCTTTCTTTATCCCACTTCAGACATTTATTTTATCTTCTCCTACTTAATCTGAAGTAGCACAGGCCTTCATTATCACTGATATTATTAAAGAGTAGACACAACTTTTCAGGCTGCACTGCTAAGAAGTTGCGCCTTGAGGCATTGATTTTCTCAGATTCTAAACCAACCATGTAAAAGCTACATTAGTATGTGACAACATGGTATAATGATATTGCCCTTTGGTGATCATCCCCTTCAGCATGGGGTGTCATCCTTATGTAGTAAATATTTTCAGTTCTTAGGCTATGTATAAGTTCTTTACTTATAGCTGCACCTGCCTTGTCCCGAAGCTAATTAAACAGTGCCAATCTTTGTTGCATTTAAAACTTATTGAGTATCATGCTTAGAAATCTCTTTCCTTCAGCAAATGTTTTCACGTTTCTGTCTAGGATTACCAACTTCTTAAAAATGATCATGCTTCTTTGCCTTATTAGCGGCTTGACCTGCAGAAATTCACATCCTTATTCCAACCAATGTACAGTGCATACAATGAATGTATGTAGCAACACATACATTTTTCTTGATCTTCACAAGAACACTGAAGCAGAATCTCCTTTAGTGGATCTTTCAAATTAACATGAAGTGCAGAGAGCTTCAAGAACACCTGATTTATCTCATCCTGCTTATCACAGCCCTTCAATTCCTGATAGATGACTAGTGGTGGTAGATTCAGACTAGATCTTGTTACAGGCCTCTTCCTTGAAGTGAGACTCCCCTTCTTTGTCCTTTGCAGATATGTGGCTAGAGATGGAAAGTTCACACACGATCTCTTCGGGGCCATCATCCTGGAAATTATTCCTTACTTCCTCCTTTCTTTTTTAGCATGGGATTTTAAAGAAAGTATATCACCCAGTGAAAAACTTGATACATTTCTCTTTTACTGATGCCTCTCCAAGGCTTTTTTTTTTTCCTTTGATGATGGAAAGCTATGCAATCCAGGTGTCACAACTGCAGTGTGACATCACGGGCAGAAATGGGGTGGAGGGAGAAAAAAGCAACTATATTATAGTAAACTTAATGTTGGTAGCCAATAAGTTATGTGTGTTCTCCAACCACTGCCAGCTAAATGTGGCTCCAATGAAAAAAAAGGCGAGCTATGTAGATGAATGTGTATAAGCTTTCACCTACTCCTGGTTTTGTTAGAGCAGCTTTGGTCATACACTTCACATATCATAAATGGTTTTATTGTACATTTAGCATCTTGCATTAAAATGTTTTTCTAGGTCGCATTCGCAATAGCCTCATAAGCAGATGATTCACTCTTTTTAAACCTTTCTTCTTACTCTGTAGAAAGAGCTATAATCATTGCATTCGAATGAAATATGCAACAAATGCCTGACTTTTCTGAATGTATCTTCTAATTACTGCCTGCCATGGTCAGTATGTACCTACACTAGTGCTCCTGGCACATTATTTTTTCTTTAGTCTTTTTCTGCCCCAGGACTTAACCTCAGTTTTTCATTCAGGCCTACCATGTCCTTCTCAAAGCTGCAGGCCTTGATTGATACTTAAAAATGAATTGGCATAATTACACTGATACATCCAAGCAGCTGCCAGTGTTTCCCTTTCATTCCATACAACAAGTGGGGGAAAAACTGGAGATCATGAAGTACCTGGCTGATACAGAGTGGCCAACTACAGCTTAAATGTAAAATGTAATTAACAGAAGAAATTAAGTTGACCAAGTGAACAGGGGTATTTCTAGATGAGGTATTTAGCATACAGTTCCACTGCAGAATTGTGAGAAGGGAAGGCAAAGGTTTAGATGGTGTCTTCTACTTTTAAATCTTCACTGTTTACCCACTGCTTCCATTATTTTTCTTTACACTAAAAAAAAATCTGTCAGGGAGGAAAAAAACGAATAGCTACACAATGTCCTTTGCTTGTTGTTACTAGGAGACCTTCATGTGGAAACACTTCAGTGTTATCTAGTCAAGAGGGATGGCCAACAGGTCTATCCAAACTAATGTAGTTTACTAAGGAACTTTTTTTCTGTGAAAAACTGAAGTACTTAACAGGAAAAACTGGTGACAAATGCATGGACAGTATATTGCCTTTTGTGAAAATATCAGTAACAGATGAACTGTTAGTGGCTGGAGAGGAAAAGTGCCAGTCTAGATTGGCCCCCAGTCTTTCAAAACTAACTTTTTTCCACAGGACATCAGGATTAATTATTAATTTCTGTTAGCTTTGTAGGGACATATTATTGAACCTTACAGTAAAACCCAAAATCATTAAATTTAAAACATTAGAGGAAGTGGAAACAGTCATTTTCATTCCTTTTATAGATTACTTTGTGACAATCATTTTCTTCAATGATAAAATTATAACCTTTGTGGATTATCAATGGTAAAGGAAAGTCTCCTGTAAAAATAGTAATGTGGAGCAAGAAATAATGTGGAGGAAAAGAAAATAAGATTATAATGGAAATTCATGTATAACCTTTATCTCACAGGAAATATTACAACTCATCACGGTAATAATAACAGAAGGTAGAATATTTCAGGTCAAATCCATTAGTAGTTAATAAAATACTATAACTTCTTAAATCATTACCTTCATTACTTGGCCCAATTCCAGGTGCTCCAATCTATTTATAGCGATATATTGAATTTCTTACAAAATTCAATACACAGTAGTCTTATTTCTTCTATTCAAGAGACTATGATCAATTCGAGACAGATATGACTACTGTTTTACATCCAAGATTGCCAACACAACAGTTACTTGCAAGAAAATCTCACCGAATTTAGTGCTGAGTATAAAGAAAAATACATATGCAAGTTTAATCAAGGAAGATGTTATGAAAAGATGCTTGAACTAAAATAAAGCAGGTGTTGGAAATATGGGGATACACTGAAATCTCTACTACATTCCAGATAGATTTGCATAATTGTGGCCTTGAGGAGAACTTGAAAACTGAGAAAATGCCAGATTACACTGAAGATTATTGGTCATTCGGCCCATCTGTCTCTTCAAGAACTTTTGTCTTACCTAAGAAACTGCTAGAACTCCTGTGGATGCCTAGTTCCAGGAAAGTATGTAAAGGATTGCAGCTTAAGTGTGCCAAGTGCAACTTAAGTGTACTCCGATGCCTTTAAGCAGAGCCTAATGCAAAGAACTTTAATGGGGCACTTTTCCAGGCACAAAGATGGAAAGTGATAGAAATATATTTACCTACTTATTTATGTCGAGTTGCTATTAAAGATATGAAAATCCAATATGAATTAAGTTTACAATAATTAAGATCTGAGTATGTTCTGAAAAGGCAGGTGTATCATAAAAGAATGCAGCGCCTTTAAAAAAAAGTTATACAGTCACTTGGGATCATTAGAGTGGTGTACACCCTGAATTACTGACAGTTTGACTGTAAGAACTGACTCCACCGGAAAGCATTTTGATCGGAAGAGAAGTGTGGAAGTTCTGTTGTGGATCTCATCAATAGTGGCTTATTTACAGATTGAAGTTATCATGTGATATTGTAGTGACAAAAAGGGACTTTATGTAATCAAGACTAGTAGATGTAATGTTGGATAGTGTTGACCAAAAGTATGGTTTCTTTTAACAAAGGTATTAACTGCAGACAATGTAGAAGGTATCTCATTTCAGTGAGTGAGACAGAGGGAGAGATTGAGAGACAGAGAGAGAGAGAGATGCAGGGTGCATCTGCAAATGACTGTCAGAAGAGTGGGTCCTAGAGCAAATTAAGCTAGAAATTTCCCTGGAAGCAAAAAGGTTAAAATGGAAGCTGTCATAGTTTGGGCACATCAGGAGAAGGCAAGGCTCACTGCAGAAGACAATCATGCTAAGGAAAACTGAAGGCAGAAGAAGAAAATGAAGACTAAATATGAGATAGATTGTTTGAATAAAAGAAACTGCAGCCTTGGATTTCCACAGCAGGACTGTGAAGGACAATGCATTCTGGAGGTCTTTTATTCATAAGGTCACCAAAAGTTGGAGATAACTTTGACAACACAGATCAACAACAGCAACTACAAATAGGACAAAAGTTTTCATCTCAGAGTACAGGCAGAAAGTGTTTGCTTTGCTCTGAAATTGCTTAATATCATGGTATAGCCATCTTGGATTAATTATATGTGACATGGTGTTCTCTACATCCTTATGCTGGCTATATGAGAACCTCTACTTCAAAATCATCCTCTCTAAAGTGCTTGTTCAACCAGAGAGAAACAATATATGGAAGAGGAGGGTTTTGTCTATCTCCATGTAGATGAATTATTTTGAACTGGATATATACCATAAAGGGAAGGGTTAAGTGGTGCCTTTTTGAATGACTTTCTTGCACTCTGACCTGCTTTGGATTGTAGGGAAGGGGTAAACAAAGTATCAAGATTCAAAGAACTCCATGTGATGCAGTTTGAATATGAGTCATAATGATCTGGTGATTGATGACACATTAAAATTCTGAAATGCCAAGCTTTGACAAAGTGCCCTTACAGAAGCGCTTAAAATAACACTGTGAGTTCAGTGAACCAAGACAATTAAGTGGTATTTCTGAGCACTGCTTAGTTTTACTATATTTTTTCCACAGTCTTATGTTATTATCTCTAGACTATGAAGAAAGCATTGTGTTTAAGTGAGCATTTACAATTCACTACAACCACAAGCCACTGTGTTATGAAATGAACTTATTTTATGAGGGCTTTGTTGAAATATACAGTCAAATATAAAGCTGATTATCTAAATAGACCTCAAAATATAATTTTTCTGTCAAATACTAGACAAACCTATTCTAATTATGACATTAAAGCAACTACCACTTTATCTACCAAAAGCAACTGTTGTGTCCTCTCCAGAAAGTGGCAATTCTGCTTGTAATTACATTAACTGGTCCACAGACGAAAAAGAGTTCACATATGTGCAAAGAATGAATATAAAATGTGGATTACCTAAGCTGAATACTTTTAGACCAACTTTTTATTCCAGAAGAAAACTCTTGAGAAAAATTCAGGCTGAAGAGGATCAACCATATTCTGATAATGCTATCATGTAAGTTTTAAATATTCTGAAAATAAGGATTTATTGTGCGATACTTTAAATATGCCAAGAGTGTTACAGTACCAATTTTACATCAATGGAACTAGGAAACAAAAAGTAGTTGGCTTGGCTAATATTAAACTGGACATGAGCTGTAAGATTACAAATCTGCAGAAATAGCAAAGCAGTAAGCCCCATTGAATTCAACGACACTTCTGAGTAGGCATTGAACTTTTAATCTTAAAGCAGGTGCAAGGTCCGGAGTGATGCTTGGGGTGTTCAGTCCTTCCCTCCCGCACTGTTTCCTTGCTCTACTTGTCTCCTTCATAGGTACTAGTCTCCTTTATCCAGGGACCAGGAAGAGGGGAGCAATAAAGGCACAATATGGGCTCATTTGCTTGAAGTGCTTTACACTTTGGCCTGGCCTCTTATCTGAAATAACCCAACATCTGTCTTGCATCACTTCTAGTGCCATAGCTGGGTTGGATGCCACCTACCGTGGTAGAGAGTGGGGATGCTGAGCAAACCAGCAAGCTGCACCTCAAGTTTGTTCTAACACTCACACATAAGAATAAAGTTGCTAAAATTAGCATGTCTAGTTTGTTTCCAAGCAGACATGAGTAGTGATGTGGTACATTTTAAGATACAGAAGTGCAGACTGCTGTGTTGGTCCATATCTACAAGCCAGTTCTTGAGATTTTCATCTCTATCAAGAGCTGACCTGTTGTAATTGCGCATTCAAGTGGAAGGACCCCTAAAATACTTCCATTTGACAACAGGAGCAACATATTGTTTCTGGGACCCCCTCCCTGCCAACTACTGCTAAACTCAGAGGGGAAAGAGAAGTCTGAAGCGGTTGACACGTGATGTAAATAAACAAGTACTGATATTTCAAATTAGTTCCTCTTATCAAACCCCACAGTGAAATCTGTGATCTTACTTGTTGCTCTGCTTTTGCAAGATTAATAGCATCCATGCCAACTCTATGGCTCAGAGGTCAGTGGCACAGGGGAAAGAGCTAGCAATCCTTCTCCAGTCATATTTGGACCCATCCCCTTGTCTGCCCTGATTACATTTCTGAATGCCATCTTATGCATGTTTAGATAGAAAAAGCAGCAGCAAGCAAAATAATCAATACAAGCAGCAGGTGATCTGATCACGGGATGTGAGCTGCAACTTTTAGCTTGGTCCCTCAGTTCTTGAGCCTTTATTCAGAAACAAATCCCATTAGGTGCAATGAGGCTTACTCCTCCATAGTTAAGTATACCTTTGCAGCCAAAACCGTATGAAGAATAAGGCTCTTCCAGCGCGTGGACGAAATAGTTAGCGGAGAACAGAGAAAAGGCAAGCGCTTGTCCCGGCACACCCTTGCTGGCTTAGTAAGAAGGCTTAGTAAGCTTAGTAAGAAGGGTCACTCTTCTCAGGCCTAAGCGGAGACCCTGAGAAACTCCCGCCTCGCTTTGGGCGCTCTTCTGTTCCCAAGGCCGCCCTCCTATCAAAATACATGGCAAGGAGGGACGACGCAAACATGTCGGAAGTGTAAACCTCAATGGGAAAGGGAGAGGCCGGGGGCGACAAGATATAGGACGGCATGCAGAAGGGAGCTGGAAGCGGGGAAGGGAGTCCCTTGGCCACTACTGCGGCCTTGTCCCTGAGGAGACCGTCTCCTCGGCGCGACTTGTTCCCATGGCGACTGGCTTTCCGTAACGCGCTGAAGATCGAGGCGCGAGCGCAGGGACCTCCTCGTCCGAGGCTCTGCCCCCCGCGTCCCGACTCGTCATGTTCCCTGCGGGCAGTGGAGCAGCACCCGCTTCTCCTCCTGCGAAAGAAACGCGGGCGAGTTTCGGAGGCTTCCCAGGGTAGGGGAGTAATGGAGGCGGAGGGAGAAGGCCTCGGGTCGACGGGCGGAGTCGCTCACGCGAGTGAACCGCCTTTCCAGTACCCCCTCCCCCCACCGGGCCCCTTTCTCTGTACTGATCCTGCCTTTCACACTAGCTCTCTTCCCTGTCTTGTTTTCCTCCCGACCCTTTCCCAGGCAGTGGCCTTTTTCCGGAGCGGACAAAGAGCATGATGGCTGCTGGACTAGATAGCAATGAAAAAAACCAGTACTTCGGGTTCCCCGCAAACTTCCAAGCTCCCGCCAAGAGTGGGACCTTCCCGCTCCTCCAGTTTAAATCAGTTTTATATTTCCTTGGCCTGTAGGCCACTTGCTTTGCATATTATGTGCTGGCAAACGTGTTTATGTGCACACAGTGGGAAGTTGTGGCCAATTTTAGCTCCTTGGTATGCCTACATTTATACCTGCGGTAGCGCGCAGCACACCTGTCCACTAAATTTTTCTGTGTAGCATACAGGTAAAGTGCTTTGCATGGATTTATAAATACCAGGTGCAAAATCATCTATTGTAAGGAAAAGCACATCCATTGGTTAGGATATACATTTGATTAAAAATGGCTTCACTTAATTACCTTCAGCATATTCGTATGTACAAATAGCAAGTGCTGGCAAGGTGTCATGGATGACAATATGCTTGGGAAATGTGACCCATTATGATTGTGCATATGAAAGGCATTTGTGCGATTGCCACCTATTGGATAGTATCTCTGACACAACACAGGTCCTCCCCAATGTCCATATCATTTTTATAGATACTATTATGGTATTTTACTAATATTAACTTTCATAGCAACTGCATCCACTGTGAACATAAGTTTGGCATTGCCACAAAAAACAAAGTGAGCTACAAGCTGCAGCCACACCTTGTATTTTCTCCATAGTAGTACCCAACTAGTTACTAAATCTTTGAAAAAGTATATTTCATCTTTTGGAGGACATCCTCTCTGCATTGCTGTAATGCAACCTCTATCCTTTGTGTTGTTGCCTCAAAGAAAACATGACTTGTCACCCACAGGAAGGTTTATCCCACACACCCTCCTTTCGTGCATGCAGGGACATAGTGTTCTTAAAACAAGCAAACTACACCATTCCAGATGGTGTTTTTTTCTCCTGTGTCCTAACCTTTTCATCTGTACTGTTTCCTTTTTTTTTTTCGCTTTTGTCAGTTTTCAGTTATTTTCAAAGAAAAACATTGCTCAACTGGCAACGTTCAGCTAAGTCAACCCAGATGAATATTGCGAGGGCTTTCTGAGGGACACTTGATTGGATAGCTCAAATGAATAGACTGATAAGATTTCATAATCCTATCTTTATATTTTAGCTTTATATTAACTCTAGTGGAATATGTCTTGGCATCCCTAAGCTGCTATTAAGTTGCTTTGTTGCCTTTAGCCCACTCATCTTTGCTGTCCGTCTCAATTCTTTCTGTGATATTCTTAATCCCTGTTCCCATACAGGCTTGTCAGGGGAAGCACAACCAACAGGTCTGCCAATTTAGTGGGGAAAAAAGACTTTATGCCTGCCATTTATGGAACCAGTCTCTCACTGAGCAGCTTTTCTCACCAGGTATATTAGCATTTAGCCAAAGGACCAATTTTTTAATACACATACTGTATCCTTAGTGTGTTCTCTGATTTTTGATCAAGTGGTTATGAGTGTCATATTAAGAATAATAGCATATCTCAGGTCAGTGGTACAACTCTATACAAAGTAAATCAGTACAAATGTTGCAAAAAAAGCCTACCTTTTCGGTATGTTCAGTGACAACATATATTTATTATTGCATATATGCAGCATATTTTCAAGGAATTAAGCATTTTTAAATGGTTAATTTGTCTAACCTAGGGTGGTCCAAACTGTGGGCCACATGCTGCCCCTAAGGCCTTGTTCTATGACTCAGAGTCCCTGTATTCCCCCATTGTCTGAATCCCAGTGATGTCATGGGCATGATTGCAGTGAGCAATCCTGAGGCCACTGACCCATCCTGCTTGAGGTTGGGCTGGTGGCTTTGGAAGAGCTTGCCCAAGCATGCCTTGCATAGCTCCAGCTGACAAATGCAAAGGTGCTCAGGAGCAGGCAGTACTGTGGAAGATCCAACAGCTTAAGTACAAGAAGCCCAGCATGCTAATCCCAAGAAGGAAGGAGAGGCCAGGTGGATCACATGGGAGGGTTTCTGAGTGGAAGAAACAGGGACGAAAGGGATGGGCCTCAGCAGAGGGGCAGTCATTGTCCTTGAACTGCTTTGATCTCTGCAGAGATTACAGGTCCCCAAAGCATTTTTTTCATTCAGTTAGTCCTAAAATCATCTTAAATTAATTCTCCCTTGTTTAATTCATTGTGCAACTCCTGAATTCTCTGTCAAAGCCCTCATGTGGCCCTTGAAATATAAAAAGTTGGACTGTCTTGGAAGGCAAGGAAAAAAAACCATTTTATAGAAGGGATTACTACTATTGAATTTAATTTTCTATATACTTACATTGTTTCCTGTTAGCCTAACTCCAGTAATAGATTAAATGCTGAGACTCCAAGATAATAACCACTAGGTAGGCTGGATCAACCTAGAATTTTACCCTACCTCTAGGATTTTTATGGGGATTTAAAGCTCAACAGCAGGAAACAGGTAGAGTAGAGGACATAAAATCTTAGAGTGCATGCAACCCCAAAGCTTAACTCTTTAGATCTTGGTTGTTATGGATGCTCTTGACCTATAACATAGTGTAATTAATCTCCATTAATCAAACATGTTTTGGTTATATTAGGATGTGTTCTCCAGTTGAATTGTGCTTCCTAGTGAAAATTACTAAAGAAAAGGATCTCAACTCCTATGAAGATCTCACTGAAGGAGCAGAATTTTGTTTGCTTAGGACGCAATCCAATGGGATGCCATAAACCACTACTGGTACCTTATGCAACACAGGAGGAGTGTGGAGATGTAGGTCACCTCTGCACTTTTCTACCCTGCTAAGTTGCAGATTTCAGTTGCCTAATGTTTCAGAGCATTACATGAGGTTGAGGCATCCACAGGGTATCTCACAACTTGATGGTGCCAGTCTCCTGCCCTCTGCACCCCCTCCCCAACCCCTTCCTTGAATTCACTTTTGAGACCTCAGGAAAGTTGGTGTGGTTCTTTCCACACTCTGTGTTTCTGTGTGAGTGTGTGTGCGCACACGGGGAGCGGGGGAACATGCTTTAAGTGTGAAATCCTAGGTCAGAGCTATTTTCCAGTATTCAAACTGAAACTCTGAAAAATCCAGTGGCCCTCTAGACTTTGTGCTGTGCATTGCATTAACAATAAAAAGTAAAGTAAAGGTTTCTCCTTGACGTTAAATTCAGTCATGCCTGACTCTAGGGGACGGTGCTCATCTCCGTTTCCTAGCCGAGGGAGCCAGCATTTGTCTGCAGACAGTCTCTGTGGTCATGTGGCCGGCATGACTAAACATCGAAGTGCACCGAACGCTGTTACCTTCCCACCAAAGTGGTACCTTTTTATCTACGTGCATTTGCATGCTTTCAGACTGCAAGGTTGACGGAAGCTGGGACAAAGCACGGGAGCTCACCCCGTTGTGCAGATTCGAACCAGCGACCTTTTGATCAACCAGCCCAGCAGCACAGCAGTTTAAACCACTGTGCCACCTGCATCCCTGCATTAACAATATATACAGTAAAAAAGTTAATTTCTGTAGTTGGCTGTACTGCTTAATATGGTTAACCTTGTACCTTACACAATTGCTTTGAACACTTTCCATAACATATATACCTTAACTACAATAGCAACATATAGTTTAGTTTCTACTTATTTGCCATAATGTAACTAAAAAAATATCATTACAGACATCACACACCTGTGGTTTGGAAAGTAATTGTTCGGCTGAAAAGAAATTTAATTCACCAGAAGATAAAATTGGTACAGGAGGTGAGAGCAAGTGCAGACATTCTGTATGCTGTGAAATTTTAAAATCATACATGTAAGCAAAACTGAAGCCCTTTGTCTTTTATAGGTGTTCTTACAAGTACATTTTACAAGGTAAGAGCAAAATACACATTCCCTTGATATTTTGTAGCAACCTGTACTAGGTTTTGGGTTCTAGTTCTTATTTCCATGTATCAAATTCAGGTGTTAACTGACCTAAGTGTGAATCAAAGGGTTATATACTTTACCAGATCCCTTTAGAAAAGGGCTGGGCTTTTGGTTGCATGCCTTACAGTGCAATTGTATGCATGTTTATTTGGAAAATTACCCCTTTGCGTTGGGTCCAGACTTAATCATGCACAGATCAATTGGAATCAGTGGAACTTATGTGGGTCATAATTTAATCCTTGTATGCCTGTGTGTGACACAGCATGGAACCAACCCATTATACTTAGAATTAAAGCTTTACCAAGATCACACAAATGCCTGTGTAAATATAAGACTTAACTCCATATGCTTAACTAAGAGAATTTCTATTTGGAGAATGTGTCAGGTTTTAGTTACATTAATTTTAGCATTCTAAACACTTACAAAGCCACTCAAGGACTGGTGTGGATCTCCTTTAGTCCAAATGGCAGATTTGGGAAATCAGTGGAGTTAGCACAAGCAGCAAGCTCAAATAGGATTGAACAATGTTCCTGCTGGCAAATTCTGTGCAACTTTTTACTTTTTCATTGTCCAGTTCAGCTTTGGGCACTTTTGATTAAACACCAAACAACCGAAAAATGCATAAGGCTGCTGTCTGAATGCAGGTCAGCTGATTAACTCAGCATTTCACTGGGTATTTCTCTTGTTCAGACTGAGCTATCTGAATGAATATTTGATACTCATATTAAAATATGATCATATCGTACATAAAACTGGATAACTGAACTAACTATTACCAAGGATGGTCCAGCAAGTAGGGTTAAGTACAGCTATGCTCACAATGCTATGAACTGTCTGCAGGAGTTACATAGATAGTGTTCCATTTATATTCTCACAGAATCATTTCAAAATCACCGTGTTTAATGTCAAAACTAGAAATACTTAGTTCTGGATCTTTGAGACTCCTGAATCCATGATCTCTGCACTACTGGTCAAGCTTTAAGTCTGGCTTTATTTAGCAATGTTGTTTGGCTCACACTTTGGCATGGCTCATTCAAGGAGGCCTCAAGTGGTTGAAAACATTGCAGTTTAGTTGATAGCGTAACATAGCGGGGTTAAAGACTAAATGAACATTGTAACATGGAACAACATCACTTGACATCTGTACTTCCTCTTTGATGCTTGTATATGGCTCCTGTCTCAAGTTGCCAGCCAGGTTTTTAAAAAACTGAATTATACGGTCACATATTAATGCTTTGATAAAGAACTTCCATTTTGCTGGAATGTCTGAGGATCCCACAGGTGGGTGTTATATTAGTTTATGGAAAAAAAATTTTGCAAAAACTTGTGATTAAATTTCAGGATTTTTATTTTGCAATCTAAATGCAGCACAAACTCTTTTTCCTTATAGGACCATTACAAAGCTGCAATGGAACAGTTGGCTGCTCTTAACTTGTCAAAAAATAGTAGGACGGCACAGGTATTTTTAATAATACAATTTGCTTTAAAATTTTCAGTGCTTGTTCTGGACTTTGAATGAATGGCAGTTTTGCTGAAAATGTTTTGTTTATTTCAGCTCAATGCAAATAGAAGCAGACAAGGGCCATTTCATTCCTGGAGCTGCGCACAGAATCAAGGCAATACCTCAGTGAGCAAGTAAGGCAATGAAATGAAATTAAACATAATAGGTGGGTAAGCAGGCCAAAATAAGCCTGAGTCAGCTATTTCATTTATAAAAAAGAGAATGCCAAACATCAGCTTTAGGGCAGGTATGTACCATCACTTCTCTGTTGCAATTCTTCATTGCTTTGTTTCATTCCTTCCTGTTTGATGTCCCATGCTGCTCTTCATGTGTTTTCTATACTAGAAGGAAATGCAATATCTGTTTGTTTGGGCAATATATATATTGCCCAAATATATCTATACATATCTTACCTTGGTTTGCAAAAACGACGAGCAGGACTTGAGCTTTATAGGACTGTAAAATATATAGGCTCATGCAGGGTGGGAACCAATGTATCTTGGCACTGATTGGTTTAACAAATGCAGATTCATTAGCTCAAAAGTTGCATAACAAAGATATTATAATATTCAAAGAGTGTAGAAAATTGTGTAATTTTTAATATGGAGAATATATGACACTCCACATTTAGAATAAAATAATATAATCCAGATGTCTAATCCACTTCAGTCTACCTTCTTTGTAACAGACTAATTTTATCAGGTGGTGTTCCATTCAGAAGAAAATACCCACATGCATTTATTCTGTGCTATTCTATAAAGAAGGGACTGCAGGTGGCGCAGGGGTTTAAATTGCTGTGCTGCTGGGCTGGTTGATCGAAAGGTCGCAGGTTCGAATCTGCATAATGGGGTGAGTTCCTGTTGCTCTGTCCCAGCTCCTGCAAACCTTGCAGTTCAAAAGCATGCCAATGCAAGTAGATAAAAAGGTACCACTTCGGTGAGCAGGTAACAGCGTTCCGTGCACCTCGGTGTTTAATCATGCCAGCCACATGACCACGGAGACTGTCTACAGACAAACACTGGCTCCCTTGGCTAGGAAACGGAGATGAGCACTGCCTCCTAGAGTCAGGCATGACTGGACTTAATGTCAAGGGAAACCTTTACCTTTACCTTATTCTATAAAGAAGGTAGGGAACTGTGTATATTTATTGTGTCATATGAGCATATTGATCCTAAACATTTGGACCAGAATAACTGCCTTGCATGTCTCACACTATATTTTTGAGTATTTTTTTCTTGTTAAAGTTGGCAAAAGGCTGAAAGGAACATTTGAGTAGTTTTTACAGATACTGTTCCATTTGCTTCTAACAGGACAGCATTGGCTGTCATGGAACAAGCGGGAGTGGACTTCTTATTGGAGAAGCTCCAAGCCAGCTTAATCATGACCATCAAGAGCTAATCTTGACATAACATGTTTTTTCCCTGATTGAAAATCCTTTGGAATTATTTCTTTGGAGGCATTTATGTAAAAGTGTAATTAGTAAAATAGTACTCAGAACTCAGAACTTAGTGTGTTTAGTTATATACATCTGTGAATAAAACTATGTTATATCAGCAGTGAATTTAAAAGAGTAATAAAGGAAGAGCACTTTCTTTTTTTAACAAAAAGCATCTGTGGGGATGAATTTAGCTGCAAATAATGGTTTGTCAGGTGCGGATTTTCAGTAGATAAGCAATTCAATTATTCTATTTCTTCTGTATATAGTAAAGTCCACAGAATTGTCACCCTCTAATTGTGTTTCCATTTTTTAGCATTAAGGAAAAAACTAATTTTTCCACACCTTTATCATCTTGATTTTAAAATGTTGAGGTATAATTGTATAATTGATTTCACATATTTGCATGATGCATGGACATTAATATTTACCATTTTACTTTAATAAACCCTAATAGACATTCATGGGCAAATTTGTGCTAAATCAAATTTTCACTTAACTAGTAATCAACAAAAAAGTGGAAAGATTTTTACTGTGCTCTACAAGGGGTGTTCAATGTATTCTCGGTATCGGGTTGATTTGCTATTGATGTGGGTAATTTAATTATTTCATTAGCTAATGACATTATCTGAGGGTATACATGCAAAATTGGGTCGGGAATTTATTTATGTTATATTTTATGCTTTAAGCCGTCCTGAGCCTTTTTGTGAACAGGACAGCATATAAATAGTTTAAATAAATAAAATTTCAAATAAGTGTGATGATTAGTTCCCTAGTAATCCTCAGTGAAAGACGACCATAAGGACTGATGCGACAATGTTGAAGAAAATCGAGCACCACGCTGTGATTAAGTTCCTTACAAAACAAGGAAAAGTCAAAAAATCATTCATGAAGAGATGGTGGCCATTTCCCAGGACTCTGCACCTTCATTATCTACTGTTCAAAAGTGGTCAAGTGAATTTAAAAGGGGCAGAGAAACCATTGAAGACGACCCTCGCTCAGGTGGGCTGGTTACTGCCACTCCAGAAGAAAATGTGAAAAAAATTGAGAAACTTGCATTAACTACCTATTCCCGAATTTAAAAAAAGATCTTCGTGGAAAGCAATTTTCCGACGATGAAGAGCTCAAGGTGGCAGTTAATGCACATTTTTTAGACAAGGAGGAAGGGTATTTTTTTACAGGGAATTGAAAAGTTAATTTCTAGATGTAATAAGTGTATTGAAGTTATGGGGGATTACATTGAAAAATAAAAATTATCTCAATTTATTATTCCTTTTTCTTCATGCTGATACCGAGAATACATTGAATGCCCCTCGTACGTTCTTTTTCATTTGCTACCTACCTGTAGCATATATACTGCTGCTTCAGAACAAAAGTCCACCAAATCAATATTCTGCCGTTTACAGGGACCAGTCAAAAAGTTCCTATCAGGGTATAATAGAGACCAATCAAAACAAGTATGTGCCAAACTATCTGTAACCAATAGATAGATAGTTTGGCATGTATTTCTACGTATTCTTGGTTATAATGCAGCAAAAGTCGCATCCCACAGATTTCCATCTAACCAGGGTCAAGGAGTTATGTTTGTGGCTCCCAATGTCTTTATCTCAAGAAGCAGTTGTGAGCCCTCCCAAACTGGATGTGGCAGTCGGGTTAGGTGGTTTCACTTCCAGTGAATCCTCTAATATTATTAGTTAGGGAGGGGAAGACTTGTGAAATTAGGCTGCTATCGGAAAGGTCTAATTTCCTCATCATTGGAGGAAATATATGTTAAACCTGGAGCTGCCATATATAATTCTCTTCCCATTCATACCAATGAGATGGAAATTGTTTTCTTTCAAAAAATAAGGAACAGGAAGAGGAGTAAGTCTGGCAGAGCTTTGGAATGGAATGATGTGTCCAACATTACGTCTTTCACCACTGGCAGATTGCCGCATTAAGCTTTGAAACTCTTAAATCCTCCTATAGTAGCACCGGGAGCCTCCCTTTTCACTGGACTGTGATCCAGATTGAAGGTTATTATGGTTGTATTTTGGAAAAGTTTGTAAAATGTGTTTAAAAATTTGGCTGCATTGTTTCCGTAACTAGCAGGCAGTGGATTAATCAAATCTCTGTTTAAAAGGTTTATACGGTAGTAATCACTACACCCATTGGTGGCAAACTATAGATCAGTCTATAGAACTATACATCAGTCATATTTTATTTGTCTGGAACCTACTTCTAGTCAGTCAAATTTTGAGTATTAATTTGCCGAAAATACTAACTTCAGGCTGCATTGGTCACTATTACTGAAAAATACCTATTATTTTTTTCTGTGTAGTGACTGTTGTCACTATCAATTGGCCAGTAGAGGTGCAACATGACATTTTTGCATTAGTCCAGTCTCTCTTTTTCTTTTAGAGACCTCAGTAAGCCTTTGGTAGAAATGCCGTGTGGCTCCAGTAATGCTTCTTCAAACTTCATCAACACTAATCCTCTGGTACATTCTTTTATGAAGAGCTATCACCCCGTTTCTTATCCTGGAAGTCAGAAGACAACATCGGAGAACTACTGCAGAAATGGAGATGGGGATTTTTTCAAAAAAGCCAATGAAGCCACTACTTCTGAATCTTATCCTGCTACACACAGTAGTAGTGATGACATGGTTTCCATATTAAAATGGCATTTGAAAAGAGGAAGTGGCAATGGGGAAGACAAGCTTTCAGTAGAAGAAAAAGATGTATCTGAGAGTGAAAAAAGTAAAGCTTTGCTGAAATACTTCAAAAATGTGAACCTTAACCTAAAACCAGAACCTATAGAAAATAAAGATGGAACTTCGTCTTCGATTGAGAGAGATACGTATTCCTACCCTGATTTTCTTCCTCCACCATTTAATACCTTGGATTTACAAAAAATGTCTTTATCAAAGTGGGATGACTGGAAATTATCCTTAAATCCTCCACTTGATGAATCACTAGATAAAATAATTTCTCGTCTACTGGAAATGGAAAGATTACAGCACTTGACTATATTAAGAGAAAGGATAAAGGAGACTGTTTCTCCCATTACATGTATTAACAATCGCACTAGCTCCTCAAAAGGTGTATTCCAACCAAAGCAATCTGATATTTCAAATACCCAGGCAGATTTTGATGATTTTCACAGTAATGGTCATTGTCTGAAGGAAGCCGATATATCAAAATGTACTTGCCAGCACTATCACAATAATAAGTGGAGTTCTGGAGTATCATCCTCGATACATTCATCTACAAAGCACTCACAAACATCCTGCAAGTGCTTCAAAGCTCCAGTAACTTTAGAATCAAGCAATGTAGGCACACAGAGGTCCCTATCATGTTCCAGAAGCTTTTCAAAAATCCGATCAGGTGTCAAAATGACTCCTCCAAAGTCATTGTCACCCAGCACAGCTGTAGCTTGCCCCTTACCTGACCATGAAAATTCAAAATGTAAGCAGCCTAGGACCAAAAGAAAATCTTGCAGAAAAAATGGGGCATTGACAAGTAAACCCTTGCATTCTCAGAAGCTAAAATCTTTATCCTTTATTTCAAAGCAAAAATATTCGCATGTTGACCAGCAGTGATCTGTTGAATTCTTATCAAGTGTTCATTGGTATTATTTGATCAAAAGCAGTGAGTGCCAGTACTTTTACAGCTGTGCATAGTTTTTAATCTGTATTATATGAAATTATCAATTCTTCTTGAAGAAACTTTTTGTGTGAAATTTTAAAGAAAGTGATAGCAAGAATAAGTCCTCCCTTCTACCAGATAATAGTAATTGTAATCAGAGAACTCGTTTTTTATATTTTTTAAAAATTGAAGGAAATAAAGCCTAGACTATTAAACTTGGGGTTGTTCTAATTTGAAAGGTTCTGATGAAAAATCAAGCACACCTGGTAGAATCTGTTAATTGGTTTCAGACTTTTACTGCAGTTGTGTTGATGAATGAGGGAAAATTAAAATTCATTTCTGGCCTGAGATTCCTCACTCCTGACATATACAGTAGAGTACTGCACCATTACCCACATGGTGCTGTTACAGAATGGTAAGCAATCCATTTTGACAATGCCAAACTTCTGCTTGGAACAGTCACTCACAATTTCTTGAATGCGCAGCTGCATGAAGGAAGCTATTTTGGAGAAATAGATGTAGCCCAGTATTACAAATCCAGAAAATGACTTGATTAAAAAAATCTTGATGAAAGCCCTCATTCATTACTTAGAGGCACAAAATAGTGTTAAGACACCTGGTAAAGTTTCTTCAAAATCAGAGCACTTAAAAAAGCTAATCTACCTGAAGATTTTTCAGCTCAGATTGAAGTAGCTGCAGTTTTATTTTATTGCCTCCCATACCATATTCTGTAAGAGTACACTTATGTACTCCTATTTATGTGAAAGTTTCTGCTTAACACCCTGTACCAATGCCCTTGCAATGGAAAAGGGGTGGGGAAGAATCTAATTTTAGTCAATAGTATTGAGCTACAAAGGCAAAAACTAATTTCTGCAATGGCAGGTGAGATGAACTTTGTACTATTCCAGACTGCAGGTGAGGGCTCAAGGTGATTGGATGCTTTCATACAAAAATGAAGCCAGGTAACAGGAAGGAAATTAGGCTTTCATCTGGGGAGGGAGGGTTGGTATGGGGGAGATGAAGAGCAATCAACCATTAAGTCCCATCTACAGGACACAGATATAAGTCTCAAGTGTAATAGCTTGCTCTGGTTTATAGTGTAGGTTATAGCTTCATATTGAATTGAAAGCAAGACAGCAATGCACCCAAGGCCTGGTCCTCATAGGTAACAAAATGAGATGGTAGAATCCTAAAAGAGTGGACTATGCCATTACTGCCATTTCTATTGCATCACCCCCAAATTTTTACATGCACTCACAAATGTAGCCAAAGAGAGCCACATCCTTGAGGTAGTCTTGGGATTTATATGACAGTACGAAAACTATTTTTAAAAATCCTAATGTTGGGAGGATGCTGCAAAACAATCCAGCAATGAATCAGAGATGGTAGAAAGCTCTGTTAAAGAGCTAATCCTTCTCCAAACCCTGTGGTCTTCCCCTCCACCATAATCTCTCCTCGATGACAGGCTTATAAAAAGTCTCTGTTGTCACCAATGGAGAATTTAAAAGAGGCGCAGGGAAGGAGGAAGTGATGTGCCTGTGTATGACTGAACTGGAGTTTAGGTGTTCAGTCTTAGAGCCGCACACCAGCAGTGGGGTGTCCCTTCCTGACTGAGCTTGATAGTCCTTGGTCTAAAAAAAGGTGCTGCATTCATGAAAAGGGTAACTTCTTGGTCCCAAGCAATGTAACTGATCAAACTACAGGGAACCCAAACTTACTGTACTGTCTTAGAATATATTCATGATAGGTATAAGAAAAAGACATTGCTACCAGGTGCCTCAAAGCAGAGTGCTAAACACAGTAGGCTGTAATAATGAGTATTTATTTAGTAAAATATAATCAACACTCAGACAAAAACAGATTGCTTCAAAAGTGAAGTGGGATATTCATGCAGAAGAACTCTAAATCATTGAGAATATTCTGTATGTACATCTGGTGAAATTACAGGTACTCCACTTAAAAGATTATATATTCCTATATTAGAAAGAAGACTGAGCATGATACCTCCCTAACTAGTCTCTTTTCATGAGGGTGAGCCACAGGTAATTTTTATATTCTGCTGTGACTATAAAGTTCCTGGTCAAATAGAAATGGGCTCTTTTCCCTTTTCCACATGGCACATAGTTAATACAGATTATAAGGAATTTCAAAACTAATAATTTCATATCATTCCTACCTAAAGCTAAGTACCTCGATTACTCAAACACAACAAAGGAAAACTTGCTGTACTTTGAAGAAATTAGGTGTATTATAGCATGAGCGTCTAAGGACCGCAGATAAGTATCAGATGCATTGTTATATGAACTAATTCATGTATACACAAATATGTCTAGAGGGGGAAGTATTTAACAATTTTTCCTGTTAATTCGGTCCCTATAGAGGTTTATAGCAATTTTGTATGCTTATGGACAGTTGCAATAAGTGGAATGTAGTTGAATGGTGTTGCACATGCTTCCAAGCATTAAAACCCAATAAAACACAAATCCCCAAACTCAGAGACTTCTGAGATTCCTATGCCTTGCCAGGCTGATGCCAGCAGGGTGGGAGGAGTGGCAAAGGGATTCTTTGCGTCTGTATCTTCCAACTGCCTTTTCCTCCAGCCCTTCTAGCACATGGGAAGCTAAAGATACAGTCTTTCACGGTTTCTCCAATCTCCTCCCCTCCTGACTCACCCCTTTTTCTTCCTCTCTTTGGATGATTTTCTGACTTCCAAGAGGTGGCCAATATAGTTGGGCTGGCTGCGTGGGGACATAGGCAGATCTCCAACTTCCAGAACACTGCCACCAACCATAGATTTTCTGAACTTTGCTATGCTCCTTAGGATGCTTACCCAACGACCCTAGGAGTACTCTCTTGGCATCTTTAAAGATCAATGCTTTTATAAAAGGCAGTTACATTATAGAAAATCTTAATATAAAAAGGAAAAAAGTGAAAGCAACTCCAGGTAATCATGATTACATACATTATCATCAAGATGAAGCTTGAGCTTATCCTTGTTTGATTAGAAAATAACAGGTGCTCTTATCTAAAACTAGACACATTCTAGACTGCATGGTATTTTTAGACCAGGTAAATTTGTGAGGCTGCCCATTAATTTGGCATTGGAGCTGGAGATGAAAATTTCAGCTTGCTGCAACAACCCCCTCCAGTGGGAGAGTGCAATTGTTTTCTCATAGGGAGAAATCCAGTTGTAGAGAAGTGGTAAATGATGCACTGGTCTCTCTTTGAATTACCCTATTAAATCAATAGGTAGCTCACTCACTGAGCACCCCACATTGCTGAAAATATATCATAGGAATGTATTATTATGCTGGTGTCTTAGAATTCAGTGGAATTCAGCAGAAAAGAATGAGTTACAGAATAGACTAAAAATAACTAGTAAAAACTGGTATTTATTATCTTTAAGCAAGCTACTGCTTCACATTTTGATGCACAAGTTTACATTACAGCGTATCAATCTTGTACTGTATTTTCTCAGACCGATCTGCCTCTTGAGTACCCATCAAGCCACGCAAAAGTTTCTCAGAGGTTTTCTGCCACTTACCCTATATAGGAAGGGAAAGACATCATTAGCAAAGATAGTTATCAGTATCAGATTTATCCAAAGCTCAGCTAGTTTTGTTGTCATGTCAACCTACACTGCAGCACAAAACACCTAGGAAAACAAACTTAAAATGCATTTCCCCACCTGATAAATCACTAAAAAAAGCAGTATTTTTAATTCTCATTTGATTTATCTGTGCTTAATCATTATCCCCAGTGCCTGGGTGTTTTGTTAAGCTTTGCTTGGTTTTCATTTGGAAAAAGTGTTTAAAGTCTGAACAAGATTGTCAAGAAAAGAAGAGTGTAGTGTAGTCATCTCTCACACTACAGTCTGAATTTAAACTGGATTACACCAAACTAGCTTAGACAGGTCTGTAAATCCAGTACCTTTGCTGGGTCATCAGATATGCAACCATACAGATATTTTGTTGCACTGAAAAGGTATCAACAACTTTGCCTGCTTAACAGTTGACACCCATAAAACAGAATTATTTTGTAGTTAAAGGCATACAAACTGCATGCTCAAAGAAAAACAGATGTCAGCCTATTCTATCTGTTTACAAAATTTTGAGTACAGAAGTGATCCTATTGGTATATTTCAACCATCAAATTTAGTTGGCTCTTACCTAAGGGATAAAGCATGATAATGAAACATTTAAAACATATTCAACCATGTCCTGCTTCAAATTTATCACAACAAAATTACATCACCCAGGAATGAAACAGACGCATTTTACAAAGAAACAACACAACAACACTATGCTAAGAACTGCCAGTAGGGCAGAAGTGTTAAAATGAAGCCTGCATCTGTGTGCTGTGAACAGAAAAAAAACTAGACATAACTAAATGAACGTTTTTTATATCTTTTATAGAACAGAAACCTTTGTTCAAGTCTTCTGGTTGCCATCGTCTTCATTTGAACAGCACCTATAACACAAAGAATAAGTAAACAAGCAACTTTGTTTTTTCTTGAGACTAGTTTAAAAATTCTGTAGCCATAAAATTGGCTGTAAATGCTACTGGAGTTGACATGACCAACTCTTTTCATTATTTAAACAGGGACATGAAACAAGGGTGGAGGCAATAGCATTTTATGACATCTGTGTCAAGACTGCCACTAGATATGCAAGATAGGCTGGAGGTGTTGCCAATGTAGTGCGCCACATTACTTTAACTATCAAGTAATCTACTTCTTCATTTCAGTGAGTGAAAGCTGCATTCTGTCTCCTGTACGAACAAGAAACATTTTCAATAAGTTGACAGAGAAATACATTTACTACTTTTAAAGTAAAATTAAACTGGAGAAGAAACAGGGTAGAGATTCAAATTAAACAGGTAACAACACCTGCTACCTTCATAGCTCAGTATATTACCATGGTAGGGAGCTACTCACAGGGAGAACCCCACTGGCAATAACTATGACTGAGGCACTAAATGTGCACACCGGATGTAATTATGTGCCTACATGGATTTTTAGAAATTCTTTTTATAAGGTTTAGGGTATTACAAAATATATTGATACTGGATGTTTTCATATACCTATGGAGTATATATGAAATATATACAAATATTTTGTTACGTGACTGTTTTTAATGCAAGAATTGGATTAGCAAACATCGACTCGGTTGGGCATCCTCAAGATGAACAACAAACTATTGTTTAAGTTGTTGCTAAATGTTTATCTACACATGCTGTCAGAAATAACCTTGTTAAGAAGGTGAAGTTGGTGTCTCAGCAAACCAGACCCCCTGGCGTAGGCGTTGAGTGGCCTGTGACTTGCTTTTCTTTGTCTCTTTCAGCACCATCAAAAAGGAAAAGTAAGAAAAACAGCACAAACATTAGTTAAAACCTGCATCCAAGCCAATAACCTAAAGGAATAAATGTCATTACAATGAAAGCAGATAATATTTGTAGGATGCTCAGGGTTTGGGGTAGTATTTATACTGAATTGTTGATAAGTAAGAGTCTAATAACTTTCAAGGGAATCACATCTTTTAGTTATTGTTTTAATTAATGTACTATCAAAAATGAAAGATTTCTTCTTATGGATTACCTGAATCAGCAACACTGGAGACAAAAATCTTTTAAAAATGGCTACCAATGCCTTGTTCACAAAAGACTTTATTATCTAATGATGCATACTGAAAACATACAGAAATCTGCATGGTCCACTTTACATGCAGCAGAACAATCTTCACTTTACATAAGTGAATGTCAACTGTTTTATGCAAGAGACAACACTTTAAAGTCACATTTCTTAAAGAAAGCTTCATTTACAAAAGAAATAAAAGGTAAAGAAGCAATTACCGCTTTTAAAAAGCAGCTGCTTTGTTCAAGAGTGGAAGGTTTATGCCTGTATTGAAAGACAACATGATCACAAATAATGAAAACAATGAACAAATGAAAAACACCTTTAGCATAAAGCATTACAATTTCAAATGACATACAAATAGCTAAAAATTTCATTATGGTGTTTTCTGTCTGGCCATGAGGAGATAAGGACTTTTGGAATCAGAGCTCAACATTTGTTGTTAGTAAATGAAAACATGTCTAAGTACTGGTTCTATGCCATAGTGAACTGTATATAACAAAAGGTATAAATTTTATATAGCAAGTTGATTTTTTAAAAAATGAAAGTAATAAACAGTACACTGAAGGCGCTCTTCTCCATCAAGTGCACACTCCCCAATTTTTTTCTTTGAATGTGATGATCAAACAGAAGTTGGAATTATGCCACAGTTGTAATGCCAGAAAACAAAGACAAGATCATTTATAAAACATGCAGGGAATTCTGCTACAAAGCTATTGACCCTTCATTTTTCAGTTGTTCCAGTACAATTAACATCTTAAACACCAGTGATGTTGATGGTTTAGCTTACCTTCAGTGTACTGAAAGTTGTACGCAACCTGCTTTAAAAGAGGAGACCATCCCTGCGGGCAGGCTCAAGAAGGAACAGACCCCCTTCGGCACTGACTACACCAAGGGCATGCTGCTGTGGCCTGCACGCACACACCTAGGAAAATGTAATATAAACAGCATTTATGCTGGCCGTTTCTCAGAGACAAAAATGAAGCCAAATCAGCTAAAAACCAAAATCAACCACCCAGTTTTACTGATATTTTATAACAGATCATCTGTGTATGTGTGTGTGCATGCATGTGTGTGTGCGTGTGTGAGAGAGAAAGAGAGAGGGTGTGTATATATGGGAACTGCAACATATACATTAGCACTGTAATTTTGTGCAGTCTTGGCAATTAAAACAGTTCTACAGTGAAAAAAATCTTTATGTAAGAGACAAACAGATTTACTCTAACATTTCTAAAAGAAATATCCACCTTCGTATTAATTCAAATATATCATCCTCAACTTTGCAGGGAAATTATTTATATGTTATATGTACATTTATAAATTGCTGTGAAACATCATCAGTCTTTGTATATTAAGTATTCAAACCCTTTGAACATCTTCAATGGATTTAAATTTTTTCCTGGATGAAGGCATGCTGCAGAGCCTGGTTGATACTAATCCGTTTAGCAGGGTCTAACATAAGGATCTGGTCCAACAAGTCCTTCAGCTGGTGAACCTTTTTGCGTTGATCTTCAGGAAGGCGTTGGCACCCAATTAAATCTGCTAGGAGGTCTTTTGTTGGATTAATGGTGCTCATGACTGTTACCTTTTCCTACAAAGATAAGGGCATTTGCCATCAAAGAAAATAGCAGCAAAGCAACTAAGAACACAGATACTCTAATAGTAATACATCATAAAAAACCTGACTAGAAATGTCATTTAGCTACTCAGTGTACTTTGTCTCATGAAAATAGGGAACTTATTTCACATTATGAGAACTGCTAAAGGCTGAACCATGCTCCAGTGCTTATGTTCTCAGGGTACTAAGTGGGTAAGAGCAAAAGTTGGCTACTGTTACTAGGTAACTGCCTATGCCCGCACCCAAGCCGAGTTGGCCAACTCCTCTTCAGTATGTAGAAACTGATTATAGATGTCCTGTGAAAAGCTTTACCCTGGATCCTTTCACAATACCACACTGCTATTTTGTACAGTCACTAACAAGGTGGGAGGGAAAACTATAGCCTTTGGCTAGGCCTGTTGTTGTGCAGCCCGGAAAAAGGTGGGTGTCTAGTCACACCTCCACTTAGCTGAGGTGCCCCTCCCTTGTACTGATCCTCACCTTCCTAAATGATCACTATCTTTTAAGTGCCACTCTCTCCAAATCCATGTTACAGAAACAATTCCAACACTTAGCCTCCCTAACTAGCTATATAACACACTATGTTTAGAACTGTCTTTGTCTCCCACCTTACAGTGGACCGTTTAGGTTAGAAATGAGATTATGACTTATCTGGGAGACTGCTTTAAACAAGCGAATGCATCTGTCCACAATGCATGTGCAGAAATCACTTCTAGACTAAGAATGAAAACATCCAAACCTTCATAGCAAATCCACAATTAGTACAGTTTGCATTCTCCATGAAGCTAATTAATTTCTTACCGCACAGAAATTAGTAGGCAACTTGGGACTCTTCAGATGTTTTGCTTACAATCCCCATCAGCCTTAGGAAGTACAACCAGTGATGGATGATAGGAGCTGGCAGCCAAAACTTCTGGAGAGCCACGCAGGCACAGAGCTTCATATATTTGATACACAGAAACCACATAAAAGAACAAGTTGCTAACCCCTGCTCTGGAAATTTCCTGTATTTGTGTCCTCAAGACTAATACATTTGCACTGAGGAGAAGTGTGCCATAACTAGTTAGCATGATATGTGTTGATTACTAAATTAATTACTAAAAGTTATAGAAGTTTAATTGAGGAAATAAAAGGAAATATAATAATATATTAAACCATTTTAATGTAAAGGGTTTGAAAAAAAAAGGTATAGGACATTTCCGAACAGAATATCAACATACTTAGTTTAGTTCATACTTACCCTTTCTGTTACTTTATCTACCTCTATGTACATGAAGTTCAGATTTTGATCAAAGTGCTGATCTTTGAACACTCCTTTTCTGATCATCTGGAAACAAGGACAGCAAATAAATATCTTTAAGTTTCACATCCTGTTGTAAATCTTGAAAACAATACTCCCAATAGATAACTTATTTCAATGATGTACCTGAATTGCAACTTAGGATGGCATATTAAGAGTTCAGTGCATTAAACCTGCAATGGATAAAGAAGCGCCATAGCCCCCTACACACTTTTAACTCCAGAACATGAAAACAAGCCTAGATCAAAAAGCCTCACATTAATTCCAAAAAACACTTGGGGTCATTATATTTAGCTCTTCAGTTCACTGCAAAGATGGAAAAAACTAAAATAAAAATGAGCTGTTTCATATACTTGCTTCAAAGACCTGTGCCCTTCTGTTCATGGAAGGAACCGAGATGCAGCGGAAGGCTGATGCTAGAGGAAAGGGAGCAGTGAAATTCACTTATCCTCCCCTCCTCCTGGAGCCCCAGGCCCATCTCTCTCACTGTTCTCAGAAGGCATGGGGTGGGGCTGCAGTCAAAGAGAAAGCAGGTGAAAATTACTGTTCAACCTTCCTCTAACATCAGTGGAATTCTGCAGACAAGAAGTCTGGACCCAAACCATACGCCTTGGCTACTGGAAAGTGCCACTAGAAAAAAAGGCCCAAGCAGTAAACTGACTCCTTTTCCAACATATTATTTCCAGCTTGCCAAACTACAGAGCCAGAAATAAACATCAGGCTCTCATTCCCCCCCACCACCCCTTTCTGTCTGGCTTTGGCATGCCAATTTTGGCTAGCTAAATCTACATTACTCCCAAATAAAGTACTGTTTTAAACAGGAGATCATTAACCAGGACTTCAAAGCATAGTGAAACCATAGTTGAAGATCATGATTAGTAAACCAACATTAAGCCACAATTCCCAGTTTGGAATGCAAGGGGAATTTTAGCTTAAGTTAACTAGAATCAGTGTGCTAAAGCATACGAAGGGAGAAAAGGGTAAACAGAAATGTTACTGTCTGAGCTTGGCTACCGATTCCTACAAGATCAGGGAAATATTGTATAACTTTGTTCATGTTTCTACGAATTTTTATTTCTTATTTCTTACCTTGTTTGGCATCTTTCCTTTAAGGTCCATAGCAAGTTTCAACATATGATTATTGGTTTTCCCAGGAAACAATATTTTTCCTGTGTAAAGTTCATATAATGTACAGCCTACAGACCACATATCTATACCGTAGTCATAGATTTTGCCTATAACTGAAGGAAAAGAGTTTTAGGATTAAAACCATTAATCATACAAAAACATTAGGCTGAAATTATGGTGACTCATTTTCCTAAAGCCCAAAAGAGAGAATAACAGATCGTATCTAATACATTTTGCCCATATTGCTCAGCCCACAAAAGGTGGGTATACCACTGAACTGCATAGCCTTTCCTCATATCCACGTTCTGTTCTTGTCATCAAAATCTGTTAAGAAAATTAGGAATTTGCTGATGACCCACACCTGTCTTACTTTTTTTCACATCTGCTGTGTCAAGGAGTAGAAAAAGAGTTAATGAAAAGACAAGTAAAGCAGAAACATTATGGCACTGCCATATACTAAATGATATTTCAGACAGCCACCTCCAATTTTCTATTCAACAAGGTTTCTGTTCAAAAGCCTACAAGTCAAATTAATATTAACTGCAGAATCTGAATGTAAGCAAGAACATCAGAGGGTAGATTAACTTACTAATTTCAGGTGCACGATAAAATCGACTGACAAGATACGGTGTGATGTCATTATCAGCAACATGTGAAGCTGATCCAAAGTCACAAAGTTTTAAAATGGTTTTAGATTCATTCACCTAAAAATGAAAAAGACGAAAAAGAATTGTATTTAACCTGCTGGACAAAGGTAGTAAGCAAGTGGCATTATGATTCTTATTACTAGCCCTTAAAAAGTTTGACATATCATATCACGCCATATAGGCATGCTGGACTAGATGAACCCCTTCTCATGAACTCGGCAGGTCCCTGCATATTTTTACAACTCTAAGTAGAGAGGCAGCTTCTGAAATCATCATATTGGTAAACAGCAGTAATATTATTTTCTATTTTGGAAGTGTCTATTCTGTAATAATACTTCTGCAGAGAAAGCCTGAAATTTGCTCACCCAGTTACTATCATGAATAGGAAACATGAATTAAGCTAAAGTAAAATTAATTTGTATTTTCCCTAGTCCTCTCTCATACACAATAGTGGAGTTTGCACTTGGATTCAGAGCAGCATCAGAGATTCTTCTACCCAGTATATGATCTGCTTTTTATGGGTGTTATGAATAAGCCTCCTTTATGCTGGTAAATAATTATTTTTTCCCCCAGAGAAGGACCCTATAGTATACCAGCACTCAAACTGCGCAGAGAAAAGTAATATTAAGGGAGAGGAAAAATGCAAAAATATGTGCACCTGGGCGGGGGGTGGGGCAGCAATATCTCACCTTTTCCATTTCCTTACATGTTAGGTATTGCACATCACTCCTTCTGACAGCTAAATTTACAAGGACACTAACAAGGTAGGACTTCCCACATTGCATAGCTGTTAAGTGCAGATTTGTCAGTGACCAACCCCACCTCCTAATGAAGACACTGACATAGTTTTCTGGGGCAAAATAAATACTATAACCTTCCTTATTTGCAAGAATTGCCAGAACTGTCAGGGGTGCAAGATAAAGAAATTCTTCACTGTTGGTTTTTCTATGAAATATGAATTTATCACATGGGACATACATCATGTAGGCCACAAGCTGAAATGCAGATTTGTGGTAATACAAATGAGTAAATGTGTTCAGGCATGTACTGGTAAGAAAACTATTCCAGATTAAGTGACACAATTCTGAATAAATTTTAAATTTCCAGATGCATTGAAGCTTAATCTAAATTTGCAATACTGTGTATTTCCACAAACTCTGCAGCATTATAATGAAATACTACTTACCAAAATATTGTCTGGTTTGATATCAGCATGCAAGATATTGCATCTTTTAAGAAGTTTCAGAGCCAGAAATAGCTGCTGACTATAGGATCGCACAGCCTTTATGTGAAGACCAACGTCTTTTCCATACTTCTTTAGTACCTCACGTAAATTCATACTAAATTGAAAAGAATGAAAAGAATAATAAGTGATAGCAAAGGAAATAATCCTATCTTTAAAATGCAGTAGCTTAGATTCAGAGAATGGAAATGCACTTCTGCTTGTACAACACAAATCTGACAAGTACCTCAGAAAGCCCAGTGTGCAGCAGCTTCCCCCTATGCCCAATCTTTCTGCAGTTTATTGACTCACAGGAACAACCTCCTAGGATAACATAGGGGATGTGGTGGAAAGAAGCCAGGAAAATCCCTTCACACAAGTGAAATTCTGCTAGATTTTCTTTGGATTATGTACAATACACAGCATTTCAAATACTAATACATGCGGCATTAGTTTTATAGAAGCCCACAGGATAACATTTAAATGTGACTGAATGGAAAGAACGAGGATTTCAATAAGATTTACTGCCCACATTTCAGACCTCAAATCACTGGTAACTGACCACTCAAAAGATAAGCTGTGCTTTGTTCATTGTCTAGATTTGTAAAGCAGCTGAGCAACAGACAGGCAATTATGGAATCTTATTGCATTAAGCTATTTCTTAGCCACTGCTTCTGTTCCAGAATGCTAACTGCAATCTGATACCAGCAACACCAGCCAGTGATTAATTCAGCCAGTCTGCCACCCAAATCTGCAGACCTAATGGTTACATGTGCTCTAATCCTTCTACTTTTCTGTTCTGCCATTTTATTTACTTTTCCCTTTTGCTAGATTGTATAACACCTAGCCTGATAAGGAGTTCTGGAATACTCCAAAGATTACACAATCTTCTGTGGAATGTTGGTTGGTCTTAACGAAAGTACTGCCCAATTGTGAATTTTGGAATTTTCTGCTCTCAGGGACAAGTACAGTTATCTTTCTCCCACCATACCCACCTTTCTAATTCTCTGCTTCTTTTGTGTCATAATCAACTCAGTATTTCATTTATAACCACTACTGGGCCAAATACAACACTATCACCATAGCAAATGTGTCTATAGGATAAAATGTATTTAAACACGAATGTGAATTTAAGGGTAAATGCAGAAGGCTCAAGGGGCATTAAACTTTTGCTTAGGACTCCACTCATTCTGGAAGAAAACAGCTTCTGAAATATTCAAAGAATGTGTAACTTAGGAAGAAAAAATATTAAAATATATTTTAACATCTCACCTAAGTGGTTCAAATACTAGACAGAGATGTTGCTTATGATAAAAATGCCGGAACAATCGCAGACAATGAAATTTGTCATCAGGATCTGCATCATTGAGCTTTTTCAAGAATTCCAGTTCTTTTAAACCAGTTTTTTGCCTGAAAAGAGATAAATTTATTATAATAAACAGCACACAAGTATCATTTAAATGGCAGTCATTTAAACCTTTAGCAACTGTTGCTGTGATCATGATGCATTAGCACAGTGTGAACTTACAGTTGCCACTCCCACAGGACACAAAATGTTCTGCAAACTATGTAGAGTAAGGGCTAACATACAATGATGAGAGTAGGGAAGAGCTGAACAAAAAACTGTCTATTCCTATTATGTATGAGCAACTCCTGATTTATAACAGTGGCTTTATACACAAGATTGAAACCTATGGTTATGTAGGATAAGACAGGATGATCGAGTGGTCATCTGTGCATTCACACATACGGTTGTTGCGCCAGTGCAGTACCTTTTTTGGGAAGATTTCTCTAGCTCAACCTAGAACTTTCTTCGGGAGCCCCGTTCCCTACCCATTATATAAATAGTTGGCTCCTGCGATTTTCTCAGTTCGCTTTTGACTGCCATTTGCGAATGCATCAAGATCTCTAGCATTCTTCTGTCTTCGATTTCTTCACCTCAAGATCTTCAACCTTGTCCTCACAAATGTTATTAACCTCTTCTCACAAATCCCCTCACAAATATATGTATACCCTTCTATCATCCATCTTCACCCATATGTGTGATGCACAAAGACCACAACAAAGAATTAGAGATTACTAAACCGCCTGTTAGGGACATTTGGAAGAAAGAAATGCTAATGATTAGTTATATAATACCTAGAGATAGAACACTGTGTGGAGCTCAAAGCTCAAGCTCTGGCTGATGGCTCAGAAAATTAAATTAGAACAGAAAGTGAAGCATATCAGAGTTTGGCTTGGTTTCTGTCTTTTTGGGGCTTGCTCGCCCCATTCCCCTTTCCATTTCAAGACAGAGAGCATCAAAAAGACTCCCTTTCAGGAAATGCACAAATGCACATGCACAGGTGCGCACATGCACACACACAAAAGATGAAAACATATTCTACTTTGTTTTACAGAAACTGAAACTATTATGATTAATTCAATAGGATAATAACTTAAACGTTCAGAAGTATTCCAGGTCTCAAAAAAGTTGAAGCATTTTTTTTTCTTTCTCAGACTAGCAGTAAATACTATTAGCTACAGGAAGCAACAGTGATGCTAAAACTACTGAATGATGTTCAAATTATATTTAAGCATGGGATTTTTGTGCAAGTCTTCAAATGCTGCTTGTAGTGATTCTGTGATGATAGTAGAAACTTTCCCCAAACAGCTTATTATAATATATGACATTTTATAAACCTTCTTACTTACATAAGCTCATTGTTCCTAATGATTTTGACAGCCACTTCCTGATTTGCTCTTGCCATATCTCTGGCTCTCACCACATTACTGAAGACTCCTTGGCCAGTGTAGCCATATACGTTATACCGCTTATCTAGAACTTCGCCTATGTTAACACCTAAAAGAGAAGATGCATTGCTATTAAGTAAATTTTGAGTCTGTACACTTGTACATGTTAAACAGCATGGGGGATAAAACTGAGCCCTGGAAAACCCTATAGGATTACTATTAAGACAGAGTAATAATCTCCCAGCATGACCTTCTGAATTTGGCTGTGCAAATTTTAGGAATAGAACCATTGCAATGCAGTGCCTTCAACTCGCAACACAGAAAACCTATTCAGAAGGATACCGTAGTGGATGCTATCAAAAGCCACTAAGGGTCCAAGAGAATCAAGAGGGTTGCACACCTCGTCCCTCTCCTGGTATAGGGCAACCAAGGCAGTTTTTGTTCCAGAACCAAGCCTAAAGCCTACCTGAAATGGGTCACAATAATCAGTTTCATTCAAAAATTCTTGGAGTTGACCAGCAACCACCTGCTCAAGCAACTTACCCAGAAAGGAAATTCTGACTACTGGCCTATAGATGTTAGCTTTATCCAGATTCAAGTTAGACTTTTAAAGAAGTGGTCTAATTACCATCTCCTTGAAAAAGGTTGGTACCACTCTCTCTCCCAAAGAAGTGTTTATGACTAGACTTGACCAAGCACCTTGTCCTTAGGCTCCAACTAAAATTCATCAAATGAAACTGGCCCACTGCATTTGTCATGTCTGATTTGTGATGGTTATGATTGCCTTTATCTTCAAAGTGCTGTACAACTTCATCACCTGCTACCAAGGGTCCCCCTCTTTCTCTCCCAGGTTCAGACTGCAGCAGGCCATGGATCACTTGGAAAAGCTCCACTAGGCAACACTGAGAAAATGCAATGATGGTGGGGGAAGAAAAACTCCCTTCTTTGGTAGCTTCACCATATATTGACATTATTTAGTATACTGCACCTAATTATTTCTTTTAATCTTGTTTGATGGTATTTTGCAATATCTGAACACAATACTCCACCATGACTTAGGTCTTTGTAATATTAAGGCTGTTCTGGACTTATTATGTGATATAAAATTCTGTAATATTATTTGCCACAAGCAAGTTGTTATTTAACTCAACTGGAATATTTTCTAGAGTAAAAAAAAAAACCATGGAAATGCTAACAATTTGATCATGAAAGTCCTACCAAACCAAGACAAAGTTAAATTATTCTATATTTTAGTATCGCTTTTAATATTCAATACTGTACATAGCTAATTTCTTTCAGTTCCATAAGAGTGCTGATAAAAAAGATTTACTTGACCATTTAAAATTTTATGAATTGACTAATTTTCCTCTACTTACTTGCTGAATGTGTATTCCTAACAATTATCTTCAATTTATTTAGTTTACAAGCAGGTGTTTTTATTTATTTCATTTTTGTTATATTCACCTATTACTTGTAATAAAAGAGCTAATAATTCCTTAGGATCTTGTGGGGGTAGCATTGCACCATCAATATATAAATCAATTATTAGGTCTTTGTCTTCAACTTTTATCTCTTTAATATACTGATTCTCCTTAATGTTCTCAGCTAAAGGCCATGTACTTGTGGCAAACACGAGAGGCATTCAATGTATTCTCGGTATGAAGAAAAAGGAATAATAAAAGAAAAAAGGAAGAAAAAGGAATAATAAATTGAAATAATTTTTATTTTTCAATGTAATCCCCCATAACTTCAATGCACTTATTACATCTAGAAATTAACTTTTCAATTCCCTGTAAAAAATACCCTTCCTCCTTGTCTAAAAAATGTGCGTTAATTGCCACCTTGAGCTCTTCATCATTGGAAAATCACTTTCCACGAAGATCTTTTTTTAAATTTGGGAATAGGTAGTAGTCATTGGGGGCCAGGTTCGGGTTATAGGGTGGGTGGTTTATTTCTTCAAAACCACAGTCTCGCACAGCAGCCTTCAAAACACACCGTGTGAACAGGCATGTTGTCATGAAAAACAACACACCTGTGGTCAGTTTTCCCCACCTTTTTTCTTTAATTGCTTCTCTTAAATTACGCTGTGGCTGTGTAAGAAGTTGCGTTTATGGTTTCACCTTTTTTCGTGCACTCGATGAATAAAATTCCCTTTGAGTCCAAAACACTGTGGCCATGATTTTTCCGGCCAATGGAGTGACTTTGAATTTCTCTGGAGGGTCAGCACCTTTTTTATGCCACTGCATGGACTCCTGCTTACTTTCAGGGTCATAATGATGAGCCCGAGTTTCATCTCCAGTAACAATCTGGTCGAAAATACTCAATGGATCTTCACCACAGAGCTCTAAAAAGTCCCTACAGCACTCGACTCGCACTTGTTTCTGAGGCACCATGAGCATTCGTTGCACCCATCTTGCACAGACCTTGGAAAGGTTAAGATGGTCATGAAAAATAGTAAATATGGTACCAATGGATAGGTTTGTCATCTCTGCTAACATTTTGATTTTTATTTGGGCATCTTCCAATACAAGTTTCTCAATTTTTTTCACATTTTCTTTTGGAGTGGCAGTAACCAGCCCGCCTGAGCGAGGGTCGTCTTCAATGCTTTCTCTGCCCCTTTTAAATTCACTTGACCACTTTTGAACAGTAGATAATGAAGGTGCAGAGTCCTGGTAAATGGCCACCATCTCTTCATGAATGATTTTTTGACTTTTCCTTGTTTTGTAAGGAACTTAATCACAGCGTGGTGCTCGATTTTCTTCAACATTGTCACATCAGTCCTTATGGTCATCTTTCACTGAGGATTACTAGGGAACTAATGATCACACTTATTTGAAATTTTGCATGTATACTCTCAGATAGTGTCATTAGCTAATGAAATAATTAAATTACTCACATCAATAGCAAATCAACCCACTACCGAGAATACATTGAAGCAGGCAACCTTGTTGGGTTCCTGCTTGAAGCCAAGTATGTCTGATAGTTTACTATTAATTACTATTTTTATTGTTGGTTCTTCATGTGAGGTCCAGGATATGGGCAGCAGGCAACTCAGATTGGGATGCCAGGACCAGGGCACAGGTGCAAGGTGGAATCCTGCAGCAGGTTCAGAGGACCAGAAGCAAAACCCATGTTTGTTTAACTGTCCAGAGTCAAAGCCAGGGAGATGACAGATTCAAGGAAACACATCCAAGATAATATAATCAAAGGCACAGTCCAAAGGTCAAGTTCCAGAATTCATTCATGAGCAAGGCAAGGTCAGGGAGGATGGGGTCAGACTGAAGACAAGGGTGGAAGCAGGAACATACTGGAGTGAGGCAGACAGGCAGAAAGAAATCAGTATTCAGGTGAGGTGATACACACAGCCAGAGCACAAGGTAGTCACAAGGACAGCTTGTGTTGCTGCGGCAAAGAGCAGCAGTGCAGGGAGCCCTTTTATGTTGGTCTCCAGCGCCTCCAACTGCATTGCATCATTGCTCTTCAATTGTCCATGCAGCGTACTTTTCTGTCAAACTTTAAAGATAAAATTCGTTTAATTTAGCAGACAACCATCAGGTTTGAACATGGCAGAGAGCAACACGGCTAATTTAAAGCACAATGAACTCCAATACCCCCACATTCAAGGGATGTAGGGGTACTGGAGCACTGCAAACCTGGCATGCATGGGTCAGGTGAGGGTTAAATAATTGTCACATAACCCTAAAAAAGACCAGGGGCTTTTAAAGACCCCATTACCCCATACTTGCCAGGTTGAGATGATATAACATTGCTCAAGCAGGTATTGTATATTCAAAATGGTAGCCACATGCACCTTGCGACCTCACCATGGGTTAAATAAACTATGATGTGCTGTTGTGGCATGTGAACAGCCCTTCAACACTGCAAACATAGCAATTGTACTTACGATAATACCCTTCTGCATCTGTCCAGTTGTCCCTGAGATTGGGGTTTTCTTTGAAGTCTTTTCCAATGCCAGCAGCCCTGAGGCGTGCACTCTAAAAGAAAGAAAACCTAGATATTGGACTGTGCAGAAATGGATAGAGTGCCTTTATCTCGTAAGGAAAAAGAAGATACAGTTTACTACCAAACATGGGACTTTTTCTATCAATGGCTACAGAATCAGAACTCTAATATGGGCTAAAATACATAGCATTTGTAGAGAAATAAGACTTTGTACACAGTATGTTTGAAGTCCTCAGAATAATTATTTGTTTAGTGAGTAGAAAACAATAAAACTTTAGAATCTGGTAAAAGAAAGAAAACCTGTTTAACCTTTTTCTTCAGGTTCCACACACCTGAGTAACTGAATAGTATTTGCCAAGATAACAAGCACTCTACAAGCAAGTCAATCTATTTTAAACATACAAGAAAATAGTGAAGCAAATCTATATCACCAGTGCTTTTTATTGATCTGCACATCTGATTATGTTTATAAATGTGGTCATGTATAATGGAAAAAGTAATATATTGGTGTGTTTGCATATCACAGTAACCCTTCCTAGCAATAAGACACAGTGTACTTGATACATGAATGACCCCACATGAGTTGTCTGCTTCACTCCTGCCCACTAAGCCTTTCCACAAGTGTTCCAGGGATCTTAGGACTGACTTGCTATTATAGTATGGAATGGAGATGGGAAGAATAGTTATTTTCTATCAAAACTCCAGTTCTATTTGAAGGAGTGTTTTTTAAAGTGGGACTCCCTGGGGTTTCTTCAAAGGGACATATGCAGGTGTGAAAGCATACATCCCTGTCAACAAAAAACAGGATAACTCCTTTTAGAAGTAGCTGGAGTTTGCTTCTTCTCAAGTACCTAAAGTCTCAGGAACAACTGCAAAAGTGAGCTCACTCTTCTAACAGTCTAGTACAAAGCAAACAAACAATAGTTGTTAGTGTCAGTTTCTACAAGCAAAGTTTACTTGTCCCATTGGAGTCCCTTGACAGCTGGAGCCTCTTTAGGAAAATGTCCAAGGTTAAGACAGCAGGTGACCACCCTTGGCTACCAATCCAGCTGAAAACTTCCAACAATCACATTCGTGGAACTGTACAATTCTGCTAAACAACAATAGTGGCAGCAGCAATACACAGTTTGCCAGCAAGTAACAACCCCTCCAACAACTACCTGAGAAGGACGACTGAGGATGATCTTGGATCTTGGCAGGTATATACTGAAGGAGATGATCCTTCAAATAGTCTGGCCACAAGCTGTTTAGGACTTCGAATGCTAATACTGAATAAGGCTGGGACATGTACTGGCAGCCACTGTAGATAGTAAAGCACTTGCCTAATCTGATCATACTGACCAATCCACATCATTTTTATTGTTTGGACCAGCTGAAGTTTCTGAACCATTTTCAAAGGCAGCCCTACATGCAACACATTGCAGTAATAGAATCAAGCGGTTAACAGAGCAAGAATTAACTGTAGCTAGGCAATCCCTTGATCAAATAAGTATAGTGGTACCTTGACTCACAAACTTAATCAGTTCCAGAACTCTGGTCATGACCCAAATTGGTTGTGAGCCAAGTCAAAATTCCCCATAAAGATCAATGTAAATAAGGCTAATCCATTCTGTAACTGGGGGTTTTTTTTACTCACAAAAATTTGAAGCAAAGTGACAAAGAACAACAAAGATTGCAACCATCTCTCCCTCACAGCGATCCTGCTTGGGGGGGTGGGGGGAGACTGGTGTGATCGTGGCACACTGGGGGGGGGGGGGGGACTGGCACGATCACGGGCACACTGGGGGGGGGAGATGAGTGCGATCGCAACCATCTCTCCCCCCCCACCCAGCATGACCACGATCATGCCCGTGCAGGGAAGGGGGGTGCTCTCACGATCATCACCTGATGCAGAGTTCGTGACCTGCAGCAACATTTTTATGAAATTTCTGTTTGCAACCCGATTTGGTCATGAACTGAGGCGTTTGTGAGCTGAGGTACCACTGTACACAGCTGGTATATCATTCTAAGGTGATGAGAGGTGCTCTGTGCCACCTGTGCCTCTCGTTACAGTACTGGATCAAGAAGCATACCCCAAACACAGTACTGGATCAAGCAGCATACCCCAAACTATGAACCTGATTCTTTAGGGGGAGTGCAACTGTCTCCCTCCCCAAATAAAAGGTTAGTGATGAGAAAGATGCAGCAAGGTAGGACAGGTCATTATTGCTATGTGGGACAACCAGTCAGTACCAGTCAGTCTAAGCGCTACTTGGGAATTTGTGTGGCTACTGGCACTAGCCAATACCTTAACATGCTTGGCAAGAGGGGTGTTTGCTACTCTTGCCAAACAAATCACTGACCAATTCCCAATAAGTGTAATGTGCTTGGTTGGCCAGGTTCAGATGACACAACAAGTTGTCTTTAGTAAAAGAACCCAGAGAACAAGCTATGGGTTGCCACAGTGGCTTGTACACCTCAAACAAGTCAAGCTATGGGGATCAGACTAGGCCTGCACAACATGAGAATCCATCATGGTTCGTCACTTAAGAGTTTTCATGCCATCTGAATACATTCACAGTCAGATGATAGAGCTTATCTGAACTTCAAAAAATATAGTTCTCACTAAAGCTGATAAATGCAAACTTTAGGCTATTTGAATCCTATACAATAGTAAAAGGTAAAGGTAAAGGTTTCCCCATGACATTAAGTCCAGTCATGCCTGACTAGAGGGGGCGGTGCTCATCTCCGTTTCCTAGCCGAGGGAGCCAGTGTTTGTCCGCAGCCAGTCTCCGTGGTCATGTGGCTGGCATGACTAAACCACTGCGCCACCTGATATTAATCCCTAATTAATTACAATAAAAAACGCAAAGAATCACATGCTTCAGCAAATATTAGCTTTTAATTTATTTTTATGTATGATCATTGCTAGATTTTAACTAAATAGAGCAAAACTTCAAGAATACAGAGTATTCCTTTAAATTTACTTACATCAAAATATGCAGCAAACATATCATCTGACTCTGTAAACATGTCAGGAGCTGTGAGTTTCTTCTGAGATGAACCTTTAAAAATATATGTATATTAATCTTAAAGTAGAAGATTAATTAGAAATAATGCAAGATAATCTAACATCCCTTCGGTAATTCACATTGATTGCACGAATGCATTGAAGTCAATCATTTTGCAATGTACTAATTTTTAAAGTGTGCTACCTTACTCTAATAATCCTTAGGACTGATGTACAATTTACAATTAAAATTCAACATAACACAAACACAATGTCAGAGCATATGTATAACTGTTAAAATCAACCAATCTAAAATGCCTGAAAAAATGGTATCTGACTGACACACACACACAAGTGTATCACATCGTTATTTAAAGAAATTTCTAAAGTTGGGGTTTTATCACTGAGGTCTCTGATCACAACCCACCTCACTTGACAGTATGGAACTAATTTCAAAGGGCCTGGAAATTTGAAGAATTCTATCATTTTCCACTACCATACATGTGAATTTATATCTATTACATTGTTATAACACCCTTGAAATACTCCCATATACATTTAAAAATATTAAAAAGAATAACTCTATAAAACACCTGGTGATGCCCCCTCAAGCCCCTGGATGGCTAAGTCTTTAAAAACCTCAAAAAAGAGGGGAGTGTGTTCCACAGATGGGGATCCACAATTGAGAAAGCACCCTCCCTTGTTGCCTCCCTCTGCACTGCCCTCAGAGATGGCACTTAAAGGAAAGCCTCTAACCCCAGATGCTTCTGTAGAACAATACTGTTCAGTCCTATATCTCTCATTTGGGAAGCTTAAGGATGAGGCCACATTTTACTGAGGTGCAAATTGCACCAGAACTTTTTCTGCTGATATGCTCTTGCTTTTTGATGCCTCCACAAGCCAAGTTCAGAAGTGCCCTCAGCCATTATTTAACTAGACTTCTGAGGGTGACAAAGCCCTGCTTTCACACAATCCTAAAAATAAGATCACAAATCTTTTACCCAACATGAGTTTCCCTTTTGATTTTCAGGGGAGGTTTCCTCTTTCAAAACATATAACACAAGTATTTACCATTATTCTGCTCAACTGCCATAAGGTTGTGCTTAGCCTTTACTGAAGCCTCAAAAGTGTCCACATTTTCCCGTTCATACTCTTTAACATCGGCAGCTACCCGTTCAAGAATGTCATCCGGTGAGTTTGAACGACTGCGAGTACTGCTCTGAGGACTGCTTGGTTCAGATGGCATAGACATGTTACTGTCTTCAGTTAAGTACTTGTATTTCTGAAAAGAAAGAACACCATTGAAAAATTATAAAGTAAATTAGTTTTTGCACTGATATAAACTAAGATGAGCATTCAGCACCGAAGGGAAATCCCTTTCTTTTCCTCTTTGCTGCAGCCTCTTGCAGATTTTTACTGGGAGTTCCCTCAATTCCCATGAGAATCTTTCCAGGGAAAGGACAGCAGGAAAGACTCCACTATTAACAGCTATTATTGTTATGCACCATCAAGTTGTCTCCAACTTATGGTAACCCTATGATCGAAAGCCCTCTAAAATGTCTTACTCATGATAGCATAGCTCAGCTCTTCTAAATGCAAGGCTGTGGCATCCTTTATGGAGTCAGTCCATCTCATATTTGTTCTTCCTTTTCTTATTGTCTTCAACTTAGTATAATAGCCTTCTCCAGCAAGTCTTGGCTTCTCATGTGCCCCAAGTGTGACAGTCTTTGTTTCAAGGGAAAGTTCATCAGTTGTTTTGTCTTAGAGCTGATGAAATGATCCACTAAATGAAGGCAACCCTACATTCACAAGCCTTTTGCCTGTCACCATGGTCATATGCCTTTGAATGTACTAGTCTCTCATGGGACAATGATAACTGTGTTACAGTATTTTCTATTCCTCCATACATTTAATTTTTACCCCACCAAAGACTGAACTTTACTCTTTTCCTTTAAGTTTTGGCCAGGAACTGAACTGGCAAGGAGGAGTGCACTGCCGATAGAACATCCAGAAGTTGAATCATATGGTCTCTGCTTTTTCTGGGTTATAAGGGGATATAATCCATTGTAGGATGCCTTTTCTTTTCCAAAATGAACCTTCTTGGTAAGTATCAGTGTCCCATTTTGGGATAAAGGTGCAATGGCTGACTTCCATTTCCGAAGGCATAAAGGATGGTGTAACTCATATCTTTCTCTTGCTCTGAAACAGATTCTTGAGGCAGCAGGGGATAACAGAAGTAAAGGGAAGAATGACAATGTTTATATCAATGACGAATTTCAGCTTGATGGGGACAAACTTAATTAAATTCACTTCTGGAAAATAGGTTGTGGGTCACAAATTAGCAGTAGACAGGGCTGAAGTAACTTGTGGGCAGAGCCAGATACTGTCCACTAAACTTTCTGCAAAATTGGTTTCCAGCACAAATCCCTATCACATGTAGGCAACTGTAAATTCTTGAGTATAAATATTCTATTCTCCAGGTGGCTGTGTGGAAAGCACTCCACTACGGGATATGCTAAAGTTAATGTTCAATCAGGCTGGAACCATAATTTAGAAAGAACCAAATTTAGTATATTCTAAGTACCTCCTGGAGAACTCCCCTTCCAAAATAAGCATCCACTAAGCCATCTCTGTTAATTTTATAATGTCTGGTGAAAGAATCTGGGTATGTTCATGTTGCAGTTTTGCAAAATTCTGCTAAAAGTACACTGTTGGCTGTTGTTGAGTATGCTCTAATCCTTAAAAGTTCTGGGGAGGTATGAGGCCTCAGTATCTGAGAAGATCCCGAGACTTTGGTGGTGGGTGGTATTAATAAATACATACATACATAGCATATTTTTAACCACCAGCCACAGTCAACCTAGATAAATTCTTACCTACATCTGTAAAATGGAAATACAAAAACAATGAATCTGAGTGTATCTTTGGAGAGGCTAGTAGATCTTTTAAAATTAATTTTCCTCAAACACATTTTCTTATTTTTAAATAGCTACACTTGCACAACTTTTTCTAGAGACCCTAGGTGCTTAGGAAGATGCTCACTCCATTCCACTTTTTCTGCAGAAAAGGAGCTTTGACAACTAGCTATTGGAACTTTGGAATCCCTTTAAAATGAAGTTTTGAAAGGGCAATGGGTAGTTTTGGACTGGGATAGATAACTGTGTCAATAAGAAACAAAATACCATTGCCTTGTCCAAATCCTTTTACAGAGTCCAAGAGCTGACAGCTAGCTGGCAAAACACTTTCCAGCAGCAGCAGTAAGGAAGCACTTTTCTGAGCATCTGTAGTCTTGAAAAAAATGCAAAGTGTGCACTGACAAGATGAAAAAAGTTGAGAATCTTAGCATGAATGGGTGTAATCACTCCCCTTTTGCAATCAAAGACCATAAGCATTTTTGGTTTCTCTTGACAACAATCAATCAACTGTAGGGGGGATTATCTGGAGGTAACCCTTTTGTGATAGGTATTGTTTTAAATGGCTCAAAAGAGGTTTCAGTAGCTCTTAAAGGACAACTTGTAAGTTCCAAAACAGGAATAGGTGAAACGTGGAAGAACTTATAAATGCTTCATACAGAAATACTTTTAAGGTGAGGATGTGATTTTAGTGGTAGCTGTCTTGGATTGGAGAGGACCAACAATGTGGCTGGTTGTCTGCATAATGTATCCATTTTAAAATCTATGTTGAATCCATCTTCTAGAAGAGCAGGGAGTTCCTTTATGCCTGTTTATATGCTTTCTTTCTCCCATTCTACCTAGAAAACCTTTCCTGTATTATCCTGTAGAAGTAGAAGATGGCAGTAGGGCATTTATAACTGAACCCATGTTGCCTATGTTGGTGTAGACTGCCCTTTCAGTAGCCGGATGGCTAGCCCTAGCCATTCTGGATCTGGGTGGAAAACTGTACCTTCAGACAGTTTGTTTCAATTTTCAGGCTGAAAATTATGCTCCTTGCTTGGCTAGGGTTTCCAAGAACCACACTCTGCAAGGCTAGAAAGGAGCTATTAGGACTACTGTTGCTCCTTCTTTTGTGATCTTTTACAGCACTCTGGTGTTGAAGGAATGAGCCTAGGAGAAAGTTCTTTCCAGAATTCTACATTGCAATCATTGCTGCTGGTATGTAGAACCCAGCAATCTAATATGGAATGTTTCCATGCTGTTAGAAAGCACTGAAGTATTTTTCTTCACAAAACAGTTCCTAGTGTCAGAATTAATGTCAATCTGGCTTAAAAGGCAGGAAAGAAGGGGCTGGTTTAATAGACTGGCTAGAAAATATGGCATTCTTGGGCAACCTGTTGCCTGTTCCGATTTTGATATAGTAGGTTAATATTTTGGCAATTTGTCCAGCTAGTTAATTTATTGGCCAAAATCTGAAATTATGCCAACTGGAGATCCTACATCTCATAATGCATTAGCTAACTGGCAATTCTGATGGTGCCTAGATGTTATTACTTATTTGAGAATATTTATTTCCAGATATATATCTGAAATGGTTCAGCTAAACTTGGATATGCTAATGAATTATAGTTGAGTATCTTTAAAATTGTGTTTGAGGGGTATAGAATCATGCAGTTGGAAGGGGCCTAGTGGACCATCAGGTCTGACTGCTTGCTCAACACTGGACTCAAATAACTCATCAAGATTTCCACCAGGTTCAACCCTGCTTAGCTTCCAAGATTAGGCAGAATCAGGTACTTCAGGTTAATACATTTTAAAAGGAATATAGATTGGGTTATTAATAGAACCAGAAGTCCTTTCACTCCTGGCAAAGATTTTCAAAATCCTTAAAATTGTCTTTTATAATATTGTTTTATTGAACTTTATGGAATTTTTTAAAAAAGCAATTCAGTGGATGGCCAAACCAAGCTGATGTTCTCATGTCTTTTGAGCCTAGTCTATGAAATCAAATTGAGATATGTCATTGTTTTACTTGTTCCTGCCCCCTTAGAAGTAGACTTGTCAGAAGGGCCATGAAGAGAGAAGACCAATTAGAAAAAAAGATTTATATTTTTTCAGGTAAAGGAAATACAGAGGATATTAGGACTTTAAGAGGAGAATAGATTAAAGTTTGAAAGACAGTATGCAGATGGTAGATGTGTTCAGTAGGAGGAGATGAAAGTTCTGCTCTGGGCAAAAAACAGGGATGAAACCCAGGATTAACAGAATATTCACAAGTTTAGCCATGGAATTCCTGCTTTCCCTCAGTAATAGGGGAAAATAATCCATTGTGAGATGCCTTCCATAGCCCATGGAGAACATTAAATGTAATGTGATATTTGTAACACCCATCAGTGACTAATTTATTCAGCCAACTATCTGTTTTGAAACAGATCTAAGCTACAGATCTCATAGCTGCAACATTTGATCTAATTTCTTGAGTTTTTTGTTCTTCCTCCAACAAATTTTTGTAGCATTTAACCTGAGAATCTGCACTAACTTTTGTGGTATTATCCAACTATAGACTTTGGATTATATTAAATAGTTTCATTTGGAGGCACTGTTACATACCTGCACAATTGCTTGCCTCTGTAATCTTCTTTGCTCTATCAGAGCTTCTTCATCTTCTTCTTCAACATCGAAGTCTTCAAGGCTACAGAAAAATGCAATCTGATTTCTCACTAGACAATGTCACAAAAATTTATACTCCAATACTTTGAGAACAGTACAGAGACTTAGTTCTGAAGTTAATCTAAGGAAATTCAGAGAAGGAACCTTCTCCTTGGAAAGTGAAGAGCCACTCTTGAACTATGCCTAAAAGGGAATAGAGAGTTGTTGCCAAAGAAGAGAGTAATTGTTCAAATTCAGGAAGAGTCAACTCAATTTTAGGAATTTTCTACTTGCCCTCCCATAATGTCTAGGAGAGGTCCCTAATTCTCCAATAAGAAACAGGTGGCTGTTGGGCAGGGGAAAAAGGAATACAGAACTTTGGAAAGTGTCTAGTGCAGGCACTTCAATTAGCTCTAAAGCAGCTGTACTAGTAGGAAAGGAAGGCTGCTTACTTGTAAACCAATGTTCTTCAAGTGGTCAGAGAAAGATTTCCTAGCTAGGTATTTTGGCAGGAGCCCTGCCCTTTCCTTCATGTGGTAGGTGGGAGTCCCGCCATTTTCTCCAGTTTTCATGAGATAGTCACTTGGGCCTCAGAACTGGATATGGGATGGCTGTTTCCAGCCTTTTCTGCACCAGTATGCCATGGTTGAAAAGTTAAGGGAAAGTTATAAAAAAAAAACTTCATTGGCTGATTATAGCATGGTAATTGATCCTGGCTTGGGGCTAGTGGGCAGGTTGTGTGAATGTACAATGACCACTTGAAGAACATTAGTTACAGGTAAGCAACCTCACTTTCTTTTTTGTGGTCTCTGTGCATCACACATGAGGGCAATCAGCAAGCTTACCATAGCACATAGGTGGAGACAGTATCATCAGCAGACTGCTGGTAAGATCACCCATCTGAAAACAGCAGTCTTCTCTGGCTCTCACAATGAGTCAGCAGAGCCAAATGAATGTTGATGTATTGGACTCTGTTGCCATTCTGCATAAGTCTTCTACCGGTTTACCAGTGTGTAGAGTTGTGAATGTAGCTATCACTCTGGTAGAGTGAGCTTTTGGGTTTTCTGAGAGTTCCAGTTGGGCTAGTTGGTAGGCTAGTTGAATAGTCTCTACAATCCAGTGAGCTAATCTTTCTGGAGTTGCTTTTTCTTTTATTCACATAAGAGACAAATAGTCTTTTAGATTAGTGAAATGGTTCATCAGTGATAAATGGCTGTTTCTACTGGTTGGGATAGTGTTGGAAAGAAAACTGGTAAGGTTATATCTTGGTTCAAGTGGAAACTTGAGATAACCTTAGGAAGGAAAAAGAGGTCTAGTTGGAGAACCGCCTTGTCCTTGTGGAAGATCAGGAATGTGGGTCAGTTCAGAGGGCATGCAGCTCACTAGCTCATTTGACCAACATAATGGCTACTAAAAATGCCACCTTCCAGGGGAGAAGGTGGAGGTCAATAGTAGCTATGGGTTTGAATGGGGGCTTTATGACAGCATGTAGAACTAGTGAAAGGCTCTGTCCCAGCAGAATTGATTGGGTTGGAGGTACAAGGTAATGCAGACCCTTAAGGAACTATCTGGTGAGAAGATTCGAGAAAACTGTGTCCCTCTACCTTTCCATGAAAGGAGGATATTGCTGCTAAATATATCCTAATCAAGAAGGGTTTCAAACCTTTGAGATGAAAATCATGAAGGAAGGTGAGAATTTGATGGATGGACGATGTGGTTAGCTCAAAACCTTGTTCCTTAGAGAATTGTTCAATTTTGTTTCATATGATCATCTGGGATCTGCTTTGAGTGCAGCATCAAGGATAAAGTGTACCTCTGGTTTCAGGGGAGCTCCCTTGTCTACTCGGTGACCCTCCATACCATTAGACATAGTGTCTTGATGTCTGAGTGTATGACTAGTCCTCCATCTTGTGATAATATGTCTGGTCTCATGTGGAGTCATGTCAAGTTCTGGCTGGACAGAAGCAGAACTTCTGTGAACTATGCCTGTTGAGGCCAGAAGAAGAGTGTCCCATTCCAATGTGAGGAATGTATTGCCCATGGACCCACTGGCAGCTGCGGCTCAAGAGTAAAACTGGCTGCACACCATATTGTTCGGTGTAGCAAATAGGTCCATGGATGGTGTTCCCCAAGTTGGGAAAAGCTGTCTTACAATTTCTGGCTGCAACTCCCATTCGTGAGTTGGGTCCAACCTTCTGCTGAAACTATTGGCCAGTTAGTTGTACATTCTGGCTAGGTGGACTGCCACAATCATTGTGTTCTGCTCCAAGCACCAGTCCCATATTTGTAGTGTTAGTCGGGTCAGTGATATAAGTCCCGCCTTGTTTGTTTAGATAATACATTACTGTGGTACTGTCTGATGTTATGTGAATGTGGCTGTTCTTGACTAGTTGTTGGAAGGACAGCAGCACTTTTTGCCCTGTGGGGAGCTCCAAAAAGTTGATATGCTTGGTGCATCCTTGACTACTCAATGATCATTGCTTCTTTCCCAGCATAGTGTACTCCCCCTCCCCAAAGATAAATGTTCATTGTTATAGTCAAGTCTGCTTTCTTGGGGTAAAGACAATTCCATTGGAAAGGTTCCCCTGTATAGTCCTAACAAGTGAGATTGGACCATATTGAGCAAGGGATTGTCAAGGGTTTCCATTTAGGGTTTGTCAAGGGTTTCCATTTAGGGTTTCAATCAGTAGGCTCGAAGAAAACATAGCTAGTGCAGTCAAATTCGCAGGTGGGCATGTTGTACAACCGAGACAGTAGCTGCCATTATTTTTAAGAGTCACTGTATTTGGTGCAATGTAGATTTGGCTGCCATTTGGAGATGCAGGGCCAATCTAAATAGAAGCACTGCTCTGTCTAGGGACAAGTATGCCTGGGGGTTCACAGAATTCAGTCTGGCACCAATATAGAGGATAGTATCAATGTTTCGTCATTCACACGAAGTCCTAGTTTCTGTAGGAGACAACATGTAGTGCAGACTGAAGCCAAGTCCATCTCAGATTGGGTAGTTAGAAGCCAGTTGTCTAAGTATGGGTATATCCTAACCCCTTGAATCCAAAGGGGTGGATATACACACAGACTACTGGTATGCATTTCATGAATACTTGTGTGGTTGTGGCAAGATCAAATGAGTGCTGGAGAAAATGGTGGGAGCCCTGTTTTTATATACCACACACTCCTGGTAAATGGCCTAATTAGGTAATCTCTCTCTGATGAAGACCTCATGCAGACACAGAGCCCATGTGTGTGATGCATAGAGATCATGAAGAAGAATGACCACTAGTACAAAGGGAAAGTAGCTGCTTGCTAGTGCAACCCAAGAAGCTACCAAAAACTATTGTTTCTAGAATGGGATAAGACACTGAAGCTCCCTTCTACAACTTCTGACTTGTCCTATCCCAGAACTACTAATTTCAGAAAAGCTTTTTGATTTGCACTAGCAAATACTACTTTCCCATTGCACAAGTTGTTATTCCTACCAATACAGAAGCAGGATTGGATGTTGCCCTTTACTTCCATGAACATCCTTAAATTATTTTGAGATCCAAGCCAAAGATCTACATTCTTTTCCATGTGTGTACCTTCCTATTTTTGTATCACACCCAAGGAAAATATAAGCCCAAGTTTTTTGAGGCCACCACTAAGCAAGATGTAGCCATTAAACTACTGGCACAGAATATGTAGAATCGTGAAAAAACTGATGCTTATAAAAGAGAAAGGCCCTTTATACAATTTTGGCCCTTCAGGTTATAGACAAAATCCTGAAATGTGACATGTGTGTTCCCTAAAGTTTCAGGAATCAAACAACGTAAGGAAAAACCAAATGCACAGATTCACATCAAATTATTGATCAATGAATTTCACTGACTGGAATACTTGGAGTATAGATAAGAAACGTTCATGCCCCTAAAGCAATTCACTTTTAAGCATTAGTTATCAACAATAATTTGTCATATACTGCCTAGGGCACGTTGGGAGCTGTAGATCTTTTTTTTCCGATCTAACCATGAATAGGCTTGCACCCTAAAATAATAAAATCAAACCCATGTCTTCCTCTGTATCGTGCCAATTTTCTTCCAGAAAAAAGGACATGAACAGACATTTACAGCTGAGTCTTAAACATACAAACACTGTTGTTTATGGCCAAAAGCTCTTATTGTGCAGACTTACATGGCTCAAAAAGTATCTTGTATGTGGTACATCAGGTACACATCGACTGTAGCAATTTTAGTCAGTATTAATAATCAAGATTGTTCCCACTTCATGCTGAAAATATTGCCCACTTCATTGGATACCACAGTATGAGGCATTAAAATTTAATTCTTACTTTTCATCTGATGAAGATTCTTGCTCAACTTTCATCCCTTCAGACAGGCTTCCTTTAAATTTATCTTCTATTTTGCTTCTACTCCTCCGTCTATGACCACCCCGTGACCTGGACCTCCTTCTAAGACGGGACCTACTCCGGCGACCCCTATCCCTGAAAGTGCAAATTGTGGGGCGTGGGGAAAGAATATAAAACAGTGAATAATATCTAGCATATATTTCAAATAAAATAACTAATTTCTGGTTATAGGACTGCTGACAATATTTTAACATTCAAATATATTGCCAAGATAAAATAATTCTTAAGAGGGGACATAGCAATTACTGACATGAGACACTACAGTCTGGTGCAGAAGGTAGACTAAATATTTGTTATGGATCAAAGATGGTGTTGTGATTTTTACTCCTAAGGGTTTGCTGGGAAAAAAGTAGGTTAGTTACTTGTCATGACAGCCGTAGGATGTTTAAACCATAGATTAGTTGTGACTGTGTGGAAACAACTGAGCATGGTGCTTCCCAACCATTCACATTGCAAAATAGAGGATCCTTGCTGTGATTTGCTTAGGAACTCCAACCTGTTAAGAGGAGAAACAACCCTGAGTTTTAAGTTAACGAGATGCCATGAGTTAAAACCTTTCCTCAACAATTCCAAGTGCTAGGTGTGGACATTGGCCTAAATAACCCAGGAATGGCTGTATTCTTGTGTGGTTTAGTAAAATGGAAACAAATGAGCAGTTAGGAGCCAGGACACTCATTTCTGCAGTGTAACACCTATCCATGAATTGAACAACATATGGGTGGCTGTTCTTTACAGACTGGGCCAAAGTATCATCAGAAATGAAAGATAACTGTGGAATTGGCTTATGCATACTTGAGAAAGGAGAAGATAATCCTAAGAACTATTAACATACAAGTATTAGCAGACAATCATTCATACAATTTTATTTCTTTTTACAAATCATATAGTACTGCCATCTTCCTACCTTCTTCGTGGAGATCTACTCCTCCTCCTTGGAGATCTGCTACGTCGAAGAGGTGAACGTGATCTTCGTCGAATAGGAGATCTGGATCTTCTTCTAGATGGGGACCATCTAGGTGGACTGGTATCTTTTGATCGTTCACGTCTAGAGAGGATATCTTCTCTAGTTCGTGTTCTTGGAGATGGGAGAACAAATAATGAACAACAGAGGCTTACAGAAAATGGTCACAATTCCTTTTACCATCTCAATCTGAAAGCTGATTAGAAAGAAAAATCTACACAACACATTTAGTCTCAACAACCTACCTTTTTACATGTGTACCTGGATTAAAAACATCATGGGAATGGGGAAATGTAACTGCATAATATAGCATAGTTTATATGACATAGTTTATAACAGAGCTTAAGCTGTTGGGGGTATAGAAATTAATGTAACCTATTTTAATTAGACATTCTAAAAAGCAAATGTAGAACTCAGGAATATCTGAAAGATATTTGGGTTTCCAAACAAAGAAACCACCTGTTAAAATTCTAAATTTTAGAATTTAGCGTAGTGGTTAAGAGCATGGGACTGGGACTCAGACGATCTGGGTTCTAGTTCCCACTCAGTCATGGGAGCCAACTGGGTGACTTCGGGCCAGTCACAGACTCTCAGCTCAACAACCAGGGTTGTTGTGGGGATAAGATGGAGGAGGAGAATGATGTAAGCTGCCTTGAGCTCTTTGTAGGAAAAAGGCAGGATATAAATCGAAAAATATAAACAAACAAACAAACATGTAATCAGATTATAAGATTGGAATAAGCAAATCTTCATTAAATCCATAGTATGCATCATATCTGCCAATTCCAATTTATGTCCGCTGATGTTCATGTGTCTATAACTGAATCTGTATGTGCACACATATGAATGTTATCAGTAGATACCAGAACCCAAGTATTAAAAACCCCACAGAAAATAAATGACCTATAAATGGTAGAATGTTAAACAAGAACAAAAACAGCAAGTACAAAGTTGAGAGGAATGACAAAAGAATAGAGCCACAAATACAAGTATTAACTCTCTGTAAGGTTCACACTAAGGAGCTATTTTCAAATGTCTCCAAGGGTATAAATGAAACCTACTTTTAAAACTCTATGGAAAAATGGAATGTAGCTGTCATCATGCATTAGTGTCTTTCCATTGTCTCCACAAACATTGCAAAGACAGCAGCAAGGAACAGAGTCCCTACTTTAACTCAGTCCTTGTTTTAGTGTGAAACAAATAACCCTGTTAACGCTATTTCCAAAACAAATACAGTTCTTTGCCCTCAAACTGAAGGTTCAAAGGGACTGTGGATGGAAAAGAGTGACATATGACAGACTTGAAGCTTAATTCACGTTAAAAGCTGTAAGTCAGGTTTGATTACAACAACTGTAATCTAGAAGCACTTCTATTGCAGGTTGGACTGAGAGAACAGCTTACAGCAATCATGTGTCATCCATTGCTTTTGTCCATACACTGAAGATGTGGTGAGAGTAGTTTAAAGCAATCCTGCACTGTTATTACTCATACTGCAGGTAGGAGGGGTGCTTTGAGAGTCTGGTATGTAATTCACTATGCAGGTCAGAGGAAAGATAATTAAACTGCCCCTCAGACCTGCATCCAGGCCAAATCAAGCATTGAACTGGAAAAGCCTGCATTCCAGCTGGTCACACTTTTTAAATGTTCAAAAACTAATGAATCGATTTTGCACATGAAGACAGTCCCAAGTCAGAGTGGGGACTCTTGGGTTTGCCTGAACTCTTAAATACTACTCCACAACAAACAGCCCAATGATCAAAATGTTGACATACAAAAGGAAAAAAAACTTGGCTGTAGGGTGGAAGGGATAATATAATGGAAGGGGGAAAATGAAAACTGGCTGCAAGGGAAATATAATGGTGTGGCCTAACAAGTCAGTAGAGAGAAGGACACAGAAATAAAAAGGACAGAGCCACTACATTTGCTGGATAAGTAATTCTTGGGTACCTACTGTGAAACTATTTTAGAAATCCAAGGACAGAAGTGAGAGCTGTCAAAGAAAACAAAGAACTCTATTATTTTAATGTGTTTGGAACAGGGCACACATGCTCATTTTGCCCCGAAACATGACAATTTATTATATCTTCTTTCTTATATGTCCGCCTGCCTAGATCTGGGTCGGAAGTCCCTCTTCAGGAGTCCTCTTTGAAGGATATCGGGAGAATGGCTACCCAGAGAAGGGCCTTCTCTGTGATGGTGCTCTGACTATGGAATATGTTCTCCATAGAGGTGGGCCTGGTACCAACATTTTATTCCTTTTGGCACCAGGTCAAAACCTTTTTATTTTCCCAAGATTTTGAGATTTAATTGCTGTTTTAATCAGATTTTGAGGATGTGATGCTGTGCTTCTTACTGTACTACTATCCTGAGACTCCTGTGAGAGGACAGGATAAAAAAGCTTTTAAACAAATAAATAATATCTAGTCTTTTTGTTTCAATGAACCAAACGCAGCTTACATAATGCTCTTCCTCTCCATTTCATCTTCTCCATAGCAATCATTTCAATTGCTGAAATGTTTTTTCAAGCAAAGAGCTTCATGAAGGAAATAGCTAAGGATGGTTGGGTAAGAAGACTGTTTTCCCCCTTTACTGTGCAAAGGAACAGAATTTTTACTTTGCTCCATTATGCTGCTGCTTGCTTTAAAAAAGCCCTATCCCATTACAGAAGTGACACAATATGCAAAGCTGTGCACATATACATGCTTATTAATTGCAGAAGTGATAAAACAAAAACTATGCACTCATTGCAAAGATAACTTCTACCTTTGGAAGTATATATAGAACTGAGAAAGCATGTATGAGCCTTGGTATGTTGCACTATGAACAATTCACAATTGATTTAAATCCTAAGTATTTGGAGTTTTTTATTCCATAATTCTTTGTTAAGTCTGAAATTGAAGAATTAGCTTGCACAACCAATGATGTAAAAGATCATCCTATAACCTAATTTTATTATCATAATCAATTTTACTGTCCTGAATAAAGGCAATGTATCATTCATGCTACATGTCATATTAAAAACTATTTTATGTGTTAGCAAAGCAAGCATTTGATATCCCTGACCTATCTTTTTATTTCCTTCAGCAATATTGCAAGCAAGTCTACGAAGAGTCTTAGCCTTCTTTTTCCATATAAATCAAAGCAAGGCAGTTAAGCCTGAAAAAGAAGCTTTTTCAAAATTAGAAAAGCTTGTCTGCCTTGAGGGTATTTTTACTTTCAGAAGGAGCAACACCAGATACTATTTGCAAACATGGTCAAAAAAGCATCTTGCTATTTTGTAATGTGGTCTTAGCAATGTTAAACTCAGTGGGATAGAATCAAATGTTCCTACCATTAGAGAAAGAGACAGATTGGAGAGTTTCAGTAAAGATCCTGCTGTAATTAGAAGTGGTGGGCAATTATCACTCATTCTGGCAGCCACTGCACCTCCCACACTGCTTAAGTGTCCTCCAACCATTTGTAGCAACTTTTCAGGGGACTATAAAGGGAAGGGAAATTGGTGGAAATTGTCTCCTTTTCAGCAGGAACATTTCATGAATGGGGTTGTACTTAAGAAAATTTTGGATTCAAGCCAGTATTCCAGGCTACGAACTCCTGATAAGAACATGATACTGTTGTCCACCTGTGAATAATGACTTCAAATTACCCTATCAGTTGTATAACAGGGTTCAATGTACAATTTTACAATTCTTGTCTGTATTCTTCAGCCATTTCAATCCATTATTTTACAATATAAACTTGAAGAAAGTAACACAAATTAAGATTCTAAAAAGTGGCTATAAAGGAAATTTAATTTTCTCATGTCCAAATTAGCTCTTGTATCCATATACTAGACTAGCCTTTCACAGCCTGACAACTCCATTTCTTGTGGACCAACTACCCGCCCGAGGTTTCGGCAAGGGGCGGCACAGAAATGTAATAATAATAATAATAATAATAATAATAATAATAATAATAATAATAATACCCATCAGCCATAGCCAGCATAACCAATGCTAAGCAATGCTGGGAACTGTAGTTTGAAATTATGCAGAGGGTACCAGGATGGAGAAACCTGGAATAAGAGGTTCTTCCTTCTCTAAGTTGGCATGGCATTTTCATATAAAGACAGCCACAAAAATAGTTGCTTAACAGATTGATAGAAACTGTATCCATGGTAAACAAAACATTGCTTCTTTCCCAATCCTCATTTAAATACTTGACTTCTGCAGAAAGCAAACACGCACACATGCAGTTTGCCAGCATTAGACACAGTTTGAAAATGAATACGGATGGCAGAACTCTTAAGAAAGCAATGACAAAAAACCAATCCCAGCTCTAAAGAGAAGACACTATCAGAAAGATCAAATAGGAATATTTTAATAAAAATGATACAGTATCTTGATAAAAAGAGAACATATTCCTAATGGTTGATTCCTATTAACCACAACAGCTTAAAGAACACTTTCTAAAAAGTGTATTTAATGTCTAACAGTACATTGTATTGTATCAAACTGCCAACAGCTTTCTTCCTGCTGCAGTACCTCCAAATTCAATGGTAAAGCAGTCCATAGAAGAGGATGGGGGGACATTTGGTTTTGCACCAGAGAAAGTAGGAAAAAATATAGTACTGGGCCAAATTCTGCTTTATGAGAATGTCACTTTTCTAAGACAAACTCATATTTTTAAGTGCTTAAGAATTGCAACAGTGGGTTACAACAAAGGCCACACATCTCAGCATTTTATATCCTGACATGCACCAGACTTATGTGATGACACAGTTCAGAAAGAGAGTATATTGTTGGCATTTTTGTGTCCGGTCATTAATTTCCAGCATTTGGTAATCATATAGTGCCTCCAGAAATAAAGTTTGTAGGTTTTGTTATTATGAGTAGCAGCCACTGATACATGTAGTTAGCCCTGTTCATCTAATCCTTTAAAAAATATTTATGTCTATACCCATTTGAAAATTCTCTATGTATAATCAGTCAAAAATCTTACTTTAACCAAAAGACCTAACTAAAAAACAAGACTGAACTTGAAGACTAGTTAAGATGTGGCCTTCCTAGAGTTTTATAAAGAAAAATGTCCCATGTGCCCACACAAACACACCATCCTTTACTCTTCAAAATATACCAACTGTACTCTCCAACATTCAGTTCTTTATGTCAGCACAGGGTTTCTGCAATTCAGAAAATTGGAACTACTAAAAGGGGTAATTGTCTGCTCTTCTTGTTTAAGGTTCATAGTGGCAATCCATGATTTGTGATTTTCCAGATAGCCACATCCCATCTTCAGGCAATTCATACAACCTCCAAAGCAAAATTTGGAAGGTAGGATGAACTTAGCAGGGGAGAAGGGAAAAATGGCAAAGATCATTTTGCCTCCTCCCACGAGTAGGACTGAAATCAGTGGTTTTGCTCTTTAAAATTACCTGGGAGAAGAAAACCGCCTCCTTTCTGATTCTCTTCTTTTTCTCTCTGCTGATCTGCTCTTTGCTCTTCTACCAGGAGACCGATTTCGAGATGGCGATTTACTTTGCTTAGATCTACGATCATTAAGGAGAGGTGATCTGCTACGCCTTGGCTTATCTCGTTTTGGAGACAAACTTCTTCCCTTAGGACTGCGGCCAGGTCTTCTACTAGGAGACCTGTTTTCTTTCCCTGATGATGCATCTTTAGAAGGAGATTTAATTGGCTTCTTTTCTTTTTCATTTTCTGATCGCCTGGATTTTCGATCCTTAGATCTCGATCTTCTGTCTTTGGATTTGCTTCTTTGCTCTACTGGAGATCTGGATTTTTTGCTACGATCTCTGCTTTTACTTTCATTAACAATTGGAGATTTTTTACGATCTCTTGACTTGATTTTATCTTCGACTTTAATCTTATCCTCTGGAGGAGATCTGGACTTTTTATTTTTCTCTTGAGAATGCCTTTTAAGGGTTGGAGATTTTGACTTTCCTACTTGGTCTTGAGACTTTGTTCTTCTAGAAGGGCTTTTTGATTTTTTTCTCTCTTTTGATTTACTCCTAGTTGCTTTCTCTTTTATTCCATCGACTCCTGACTTGCTTTTCTTTTTATCAGATCTGTGTCGAGTCCGTTCTTTTGATCTGCTCTTACTCCGTTTCTTTGAACTAGTTTTATTGTCCACAATCTCTAGTTTCCCCTTAACATTTGATGATTTAGTTGTAGATCTAGTCCCATTTCTCACCTTATCATTGATTTCTCCCTCTTCTTCAGAACCTGACTCATAACCTTGTAATATTAATCCCATCCCAGACTGAACTTTTCCTTCCATTAGCTCATTTTCAAGTTCAGCTTTTAGTAATGCTCTTTGTTTCTCTAAATCTTCCAGAGGAGCTAGGAAGTCAATTTTAGTTCTTTTGGCTGGACCATCTTCTTTATCAGAGCCATCAGCAACTTCCTTTCGTTTATGCTTCTTATGTTTGTGCCTATGTTTATGCTTTTTGTCCTTATCTTCTTCTGAAGAATGTTTATGTTTCTTATGTTTGCCTCGATGTTTGTGTTTCTTTTTTTTATGTCGACTATGCCTAATTTGAGGTTGGTCTACTTCTGATATATCCCCATTTTCTTCATTTGCACTTCTCTCAGAAATATCAGTTTCCTCAATACTGTAAATATAGTAAAAGATCAAGGATCAAACAGAATACTTCAAATCAAGAAGACAATATCATTATACTAACAATTAAAGAGTTATCCTATAGCACCTATATAGCATGGAGGTAGGTGGATAGAATACTGTGTATTTCCAATGCAGAAGCCAGAGACAATGGAGCTTGGAGCCCAAGCTTTAACCCCTCTTGCATCCAACATGAAAAGAATCGCATTGGCTTCTCCATATACTCTTAGAGAATTCTTAACAATCTGAAACAATACTTCTTTGAAGTAGTAATTTCAGTCTATCTATCATCAAAGATAACTCACCCAACTAAAATGTAATTATCCTGTAAACACACAGTATAAATATAGTAGGGCAGAGAAATAAGATAGCAAAATCACATTCTAGGCATGTTCATTGATTACTTCTATCAGTCAGATTGAATATCATTTCATATAGTTCAAACTCTAAAACTAGGTGAAGGTTAATACCACAAAACATGTTACTTTTGCTAATACACAGATTATTACTAATGTTAGTCAAGTCCCATTGATTTCAATAGGTCTACTCTAACTAGGACTTACTAGATACAACTCTTAAGAATCTAGAAAATATGATCTAGAATGTATCACACTGGAAGTTTGATTTGCTTCAGAGAACATGCCTGCAGAAACATCTGGCAAGATATCATCTGCTTTTAAATGTCAAAACAATTACTGCATATTCATATTAGCCATGCTCATAAGTCATGACTGCTTGTTTTGTAATATAATATTCTACTAGTTTGCAATAAACTTTGTGATTAAAACTTGTAACAGTCTAAGAATCTGTCTGCTGTAACTGGTTGTTTGGAGAGAAAATATTAACTTTTATAATATGTGAACCCAACTAATTAGCGTTTAGATGTATAGTGTTTATACCATTCAGTATTTTAACACATACTGAAACCTCATATATAAGCAAACCTTGTACGAATGCCAGTGATTTCTTGTGAATCTTATCATTCTAAGTATATTTAATGTCATCTTTCTACTAATCCTATTTTTCATTATACAATTTGAAGGGGTATATGCTAGGCATATTATTTTATAGCATGTTCCCAAAGTTTCCAAAGAAAAACCTGGAAAGTTCCTTATTTTTCCAGGTTTTTGTGGTTCAAATTAATCAGCTAGGAAATGTATAGCTGTTTCCCTATAGTATATATAACTTTAAATAAAGGGCTTCATTAATAAAACTGCAGATGACACGCTCACTCACACAAGAGAATGCTAAAAGAAAGGAAATAAGAATTCCTGTGCTTGAACAGACCAAAGCCTGATCTAGATGAGCATTCTGTTTCTAGAGCTGCCAATCTGATGTCCATAATAAGTCTACAAGCAGGTAAGTAGGAGCACTCTGACACTCATATACCCTCTGATACTGGTGATAACATACAGCCATCATGACTTGTAGTCACTGATAGCTGTACCCTTCATGAATTAATTCTCCCTCTTTTAAAAAGCTATCCACACTGGTGGATGTCTTTCCAGCTTACAGTAGCAAACAAAACATGTGTGATGATGTACTTCCTTGTGTTCGTCCTGAATATGGGATAACCCCGGGCTTCAATATTATTGGAAGAGAAAAAAGCCCCCTTATTTATGTTGTCTACAACATGTGCAATTTTATGCCCCCATTAGTGGATTTTTTCTAAGCTAAAAATCCCAAAATGCATAACATTTCCTCGTAGGGAGGTTGCTCAACGTAATCAAACATAGATACCATTCTGTATTCCAGTTCTGAAACTGCTTTTTTGAGGAGTGTTTACCAGAAATGTACACAACATTCCAAATGACTGTGCATATTTACAGATTATAACACTGACAGTTTTATTTCTGATTCCTTTCCTAAAAATCCCCAATGTATGTGATTTGTCTTTTTCACAGCAGTAGGTTAATATTTTCATTGAACTTTCCATCATAATTCCAAGATCCCTTTCCTATTCAGACTCCCATATATATGAAGTGAGGACTTTTTTTCTGCCCCAATATGCATCACTTTACACTTGCTTACCTTGAACCACATCTCTCATTTTAATTTTCTTTTTTATTCTTGGAACTGCCACTGTTCAGCAGGCAGGAAGAAAAGGGAAGAGCTACTTCTTGGCTCTCCTAATCTTCTTCCATCCACAGACCTTTCCTTCTTTTTCTACTTCCAGCCTTTACCCTTGTTAACTTCTTGCCACCCAACTGCTTTCCTTGCTATTTCCCTCCCTTCCCTGTTGTTGTTTCTGTCACACTGTCTTTACTCTCCCTGCTTCTCTCTACTGCCAGACTTTATCCTTGCAATTTCTTTTCTCTCTCCTTTCCTTGCCATCCCTCCCCACTCTTCATCTTGCTATTTTTCTCCCTTCCAACCCTATTCCTTACTACTCATATTCTCCCCTCCACTCCAAGCTTCTCTCTCTCCCTCCTGCACTACATCTTCTGACTAACTAGAGGTGATACTCACAGTAGTTTCTCAAATTCCTACATGTGCCCACAGCTGGGGAGTCCTGAGTTAAATTATGCTAATCTATTTTAAAAAGTTTAAGTCAGATGCAAAATTCATGCAAGTCTAGGAGACTTCATCAATCAACTAGAATGACTTCTTAAACTATACTTAATCAAATAGTCTTATTAAGTATTAATAGAGAAACAAAGCAGCAGTTAGAACAGTACAAAAACTCACAGAAGTCACATTCCAAGTAGGCCTCAAGTTAGGACACCTCCACAGAGAAGACCCTTCCCCTAATTTCCTTCTTACCTAACTTCTGACAGTAGAAATAACCAGAGAAGGGCCTCTTATGATCTTTACTGACTGACAGATGGTCTTTTAGTTACCACTTTTTAGTTACCTTAAAGTTTAGTTAAGGTTTTAATCCTTAAAGAGCCGCATAGTCTTTAAAGATTAAAACCCTCAATTTATGGGAAATTCTGCTAAAGGAAGGTGGAAGATATTTTGTTTATTTCCTCTGCTGTGTAAACCCTCAAAAAGCTTCTCCATAGAATAGCATGAAAGATGATGCCGGAGGGTGTGCTAAAATTTGTCTCTCCTCCTCCAGCAGGAGCCTTTGCACTGGGTAAATCCTTTCGTTCATCCAGTGCCAAATCTGGATCCAACCCAGTGTTTCCACAAGCAGACTCATACATATTCTTATTGAAACAAACTGCTAAGAAGGGAAAGTTTCAGTATTATATCTTGGAACAGATACAGGAACTTGCTATCCAACTACAGTTGAAGAGAAAATAATAAAAATGCATTTGAGGCTATAGTTTAGGTAGCTGAAACTCTGGTTTGCCTTATGATTAATAGGCATATTTGGAGAAACCAGAATTAAGCTATTGTATGCTCCTTTACTATTGCTTCTTTAAAAGTTGGAAAATGTGTGCATCCATTGCATTGGAAAATAGACTGTTCAGTAAGAAAATTATTTTTAGTTATTAGTCAATAGGAACACTAGTACTGGGATATAAAATCACTACCTGTGTTACCTGCTTTTATGACTACTGCAAATGTGTCCCCTACAAACAAGCAGAAGATAAAATTATTTTCTCCCAATTTCCCCCTGTAGTAGATTGATCATTTTTATGGTAGTTATTTCACTGTGTCTATATGCTCATCACTTGAGAAAATAGTGAAGAGAATATGTTCTAACCATAACAAAAAGAAATAAATAATAACCAACCCACAAGTTAAGCAGATGTGTATGAACTCACACTCAAAAATGGGTGTTTGATAGCAAAACACCACACAGCCTCATTTAAATAATTAGTATTATTTCATATACTAACCAAGAGGGAAGATCTAGTGGATAAAGTGACAGTTATGGGAACTCTGGTGGAAAGTGACCATGCTATACTTGAATTCTTGATCCTAAAGGAAGCAAAAGCCAAATGTAACCAAACATGTACCCTGGATTTTAGGACAGCCAATCTGAATAATCTCTGAACACTGATAAGTAAAGTCCCATGGCAAGTGATTGCAATGAGAAAAAAAGTTCAAGATGGGTGGGATTTTTTTTTTTTTAAAGGGCATTCTAAAGGCACAATTACAAACGATTCCAATAAAAAGGGTAGAAGACAACAGAAGAAGCCCATGTGGCTTCACAGAAAGCTTTGAGATGAAATGAAAACAAAAAAGGGCATGTACAGGAAGAGAAAGAAAAGCCAGGATACAAAGGAAGAATACAAGCAATTATTACAGAATTGCAGGGATAGTGGTAGGAAGGCTGAAGCTAGGAATGAATTGAATATAGCTAGTGAGGATTCTAAAAGCAACAAAAGCATCTTCTTCAGATATGTCCAAATTAAGAGACAAAGGAAGAACTGGGGGTTCAACTATTTAAGTGAATGGTAAAATGGTAACTGATAAGGAAAAGGCAAAAGTGCTAAATGCCTACTTTGGCTGCCTACTTTGGCTCAGTCTTCTTCCAAAAGATCAGTGATCTTCCTGATTAAGGGGAAGTACAAGCTGAAGGAACAGGATGGCAGCTCAAGATTGATAGGCAAATGGTCAAGGATGTTTTAATTGGGTAGAATGTGTTTAAATTTCCAGGGCCTGATGAAATCCTTGAGTTATAAATGTGCTAGCAGAAGAACTCTCAGAACCACTGTCTATTCTCTCTGAGAAGTCATGGAAGACAGGGGAAGTGCCAGATGGATGGAGAAGGGCTGATGTTGTCCCTGTCTTCAAGAAAGGAAAACAACAACAACTTGGGAACCACAGGCCAGTCAGTCTGACATCAATTCCTGGGAAAATTCTGGAGCTGATTATAAAGCAGTCAAACTGCAAACACCTTGAAAACCATGCAGTGATTACTAGAAGTCAACATGTATTCCTCAATAACAAATCCCACCAGATTAATCTGAGTTCATTTTTTGATTGGGTAACTTCCCTGATGGACTGTGGGAATGCTGTGCACATAGTATATCTTAATTTCAGCAAAGCTCTTGACAAAGTACCCCATGATATTCTGATTAGCAAATTAGCAACAAGTGGGCTAGATGGAACAATGATCAGGTGAATCTACACTTGGCTATAGAACGGGACTCAAAGAGTGCTCATTGATGGCACATTCTCATATTGGCGGAAAGTGTGGTGTACTGCAGGGTTCAGTCTTGGGCCCAGTGCTCTTCAACATTTTTAATAATGAATTGGATGTGGAAGTACAGGAAATGATTATCAAATTTGCAGCTGACACAAACCTGAGTGTAATAGCTAATACCCTGGAAGACAGAAATTCAAGGAGTGAACAAAACACAGCCACACCAACAAATGTGGGGTTGACATTTAAAAAAAAAGAAGTAGCTGTAGCACTACAAAAACCAAATTTAGCACATTTGCAAGTTAAATGTAACCCTTTAAAAGCTCACCAGAGGCTACAAAATGCTACAGTGTTCAAATTTAGTTATTAATACTGTTTTAATTTATGGCCATCAAAAAATAGAGTATTGGTAAGTGACTTAGCAAACCCTTCTTTTAACAGTTCCCAGCTAGGAGATTTATAGTCCATTGTTCTTGTCAGCCAATCGTGTTCATATTTACTCCTCAGTCAGTTCCAATTAGTTCAATGAACTTATTCCCAAGTTTATATGCACAAGAAGCCTTACAATCACCGAACTGGAGAAGCCCATTGTACTACTACTTGATATCAATATCATCATCATATCATCATCATCCAAGAAAAGGAGCAGCCAGTGGTCTTTCAGAAGTCATTGGACTCTAATTCCCATCAACCCAAGGCAGCATTGCTAAAGATCATCAATAACAGGAGTTATATTCCAACAACATCTGAAAGGCAACCGTCTCCTCACCCATGACCAACACTTATTTCAACAGATGCACAACAACTTCTCCCCCCTCACAAAAAAAAATATCTAAAAGAATTACTATAAACTACTAAATTAAGTGCAGGACAAGCCCTGCCACTCAGACTGGTGAAATGATCTGTTTTAAAGTAGCACCATAGGGATGAGGAAGTGGAATCAGTACCAAATGTTGCAGCATAACTTTTTTTTAATTACTGATTTAGATGGAGAGGCACCATCTATGTTTTGCTCCACATAAATAAACATGCTGGACTGACACTATTTAAAGGAAAGTAAATTGCTACACTGCAATCTGGGAAAATAACCAAGTACCTAGATAGTGTTAGCAAACCTAATTCTTCTCAAATTCTGCAAACTAGCTTAGCAATTAAGCAATTTCTTGCCTCTGCACCACAGTCATCTCGGAGTAGATGACTATTCCTGAACACATTTAAAGTCAAAGCTCTTACGGGAAATAGCAAGAGCAGTGAATGCGTCACAATCCTGCTAAAAGAATGGAGAGAGAAGGCCGGTCCCTGCCCCAGAGGGCTTACACTATTTAAGGTTCTCGTTCTCAATAACCTTTAACGAAGCCAAGCAGAAAATTCATATCCTGCAATAGCACGAGGACCTGGACGTGAGCAACACTTCCAGCTGGGGGGCAGTGTCTTTGGCGGGACTCGAAATTAAGCCCTTATTTCCCTTGAAACGAACGGGAAACCATCTAATTCCACACCGAAGGGGATCGGAAAAGGGGTGAGGGGTGAAGTAGGTGCAGCATGGCGGTGAGTAAGGGACGCAAGAGCGTCTCTAGGTTCCAAGAGAGGAGGGTTACGAAGAAGCTTGTCCTACTCGAGCCTCAGGCTCCAGGCCCAGAAAAGGCCGCCTCGCGACCGTTATAACGGCCCTGTAGCCCTGCGTTCTCGCCATTCCTCTTGTTCTTGGTCTTCCTTAGTCCAAATTTCTCCTCGACGAAGAGCGGCTAACAGTAACTGAGGTGTTTGCTTTAAAAAAAAAATGTTTTTCTTACCCGCGCCCCCGCATCCCCAACTCCACCACAGTCGCCGCGGCCATTTTGAACTTCCGAACTCCTCCACAGCCACCGCTGGGTACTGGTGAGGAGCTTGGAAAGGGGCGCATGCGCGCTAAGAACACAAAGCGAGGCAACGGAAGGTGAGGGAATAAAAGCGGAAGTGAGGTTTATATCACGGAACTGGAAATGCAGGTAAGGGAAATATAATTTCTGGCCGCTGCGCTGTATCTTAGCAAGAATTCAGAAACTCAATGATGATGCAATAATACTTCCGGTTCTTAGTCGACTTATGTACGGGCTCTCTTTCCTGAGGAATTAATATGCTGGTCTTGCATATGGCGGCTTTTCAAACGGGAACAGGAAGTGAGGGGTATGAGAAGCAATTGCTTTTTTCTGTTTCTCTGTCTCGAATCTTTGAGCGGGTGGAAGTGAATAATGGAAGATTCTCATTTAGGGAGTGTGTGTAAAGAGAGACCAGCCAGGCGGAAGTGTAGAAGTTTCTTGGATGTTTATTCATGAAAATGTATATCTAGCATGTATACTCGGAAGTAAGCTGAACTGTGTTTTGTGGCATATACTCCTACTTTAGTACGTAGAGGATCTATTAGGAATGCTGGGATTGTAAGAATTCTGTGAAAAGTAGACGCTTGGGCAAGATGCCTTCTATGGTCCCTTCTCATTCTAAAATGCTATAATTCTGTAATTGTGCAGTGAAATTGTTGGCTATATAGACGTAGATTAGGAGCAGGGGACAGATGATCACATACCTTGAAAATTAAAATAACCATGCACAAATGGGTAGGACTTATTTCCTAGTAGGTATTAATAAGATCAGGCTGAACAGCACTTTATTTGGCTGGATTATGTCTATTTCAATGTTTGTTCTGATTACATAGACAGAAAAAGTAGAAAGGTTCAGTGGCTTACAAAATAATAATTGGTACAGATGTTCTCAGTGCAATGAGATGACGGAAAATAGCCACCAAATTCCTTCTAAAGATAGACCCCCCCCCCTGAAATTTGCAAGAGTAGCCATAAGAAATGTTCTGAAAGCTGAATTAGTGCAATGCCATCATTAGGTCAACTCAAAAACTAAAACAAGCTCTTAACTTCTACAAAGCTCTTCCTTAGGCAAGATATAACAAAAAGCAGGTTGAGGGGCTTGAGTTAGTATCCCCATCTATGGGGATGTCTGAGTTCAGAGAATGCAGGCATGGTCTGTAGGGCCATGAGGAGAATCCTGTTAAAGGTTACCTCTGCAATTTCTGCCCTTGCAAGAGGGAAGAAGGCCAAGCTGCCAACAGGATATGTTGCATCTTGCCAGCACCAGTCTCTTCCTTTCCCCACCCCCTGTAAAATGCACCCAACTACCTCTTTGAGGTTGCATTTGCAGTCTCAGAGAAACAGATGTTATTATTCTTTTTTGAGCTGGTTGTGGTGGGTGGAGGACACTCCGTGCACAGAGACCCAACTCCAGTGTCAAAGCTCTTTTCCAGCATGAAAAATTTGAATATCTTCTGCTTATTTGAATATCTTCTATTCAAATACCAACTCTGCCTATACAGACTTCCTGATTTCAACAAGAAGTTGCCCTTTTCTCCCTCAGCTCCCCCCAAACCACATTTTTGTAACATCTTTACCAGATAAGCAGATCTGGAGCTTTTGAATACCTGCACAGTTTTAGTGTCCTATGAGGCATTCTTATAAAGGCATTACCCTAATAATGGTTTTCTGATGATGGTTCATGGTTGCCTGGACCAGTGAAAGACTGCAGCCACTGTTCTGTGCATACATAAAGGAAGCTTGCATAAAGAAACTTTGTGGTGTGTTCTGAGGCTATTCATACATGCTCCCTTAATGTTTTGGTAGGAGGGATCTGTGTGTATGCAGGCTGGAAAGTATCGACAGGAAAGGGGCTGGAGCAGCCAGAGCATAGTGAAAGGAATGGAAGCCATCCTGGGTCACCTCCCCTGCTATACAGTGGAATATCCCTCTCTGTCTCTGGTTAATTTTTTGTGCATTGCATTTGCAGACATCCTGGACCTGTTTCCTATTGCACAGGGATGATTAACAAGGGATGAGGATCTCAAATTGTTATTAATATAGCTCCAGGAAACTTTTAGCATGATGACAAAGGTATTTCTGGATGGCTGTACATGAGGGTCACCACAGGCATGAAAAGGGAGAGACAATTACTAGTTTCTGCCAGATGCCTTTTGAAAAACAAAAGCACAGAGGGCCTGTACCATAAATTGCCTTGTGTGTAGTATAAACCCCTATTTTGGCTACTTTCTCTTTGAGGTTGTTTTTAAGCAACAAAATTGTTTCAGCCTCCAGGAGACAGTCTAGATTTGTTTTTCTTGATTTCCTTGGCTGATTAACAAGGGCATGTTAATGACTTCAGCACCTTTTATATGTTTTCTCTTTTTAGCTGTGCTTTAAAAAATCTTGCACAGTTGGCTGAAAGATCATTGTATTCTTGTACAGCTTATTTCTAGCTACTTAGAAGGAAAATGCAGTGCTTTTTCCGGGATTGTTTACAAGATTAAACCTAGCACTCTGGTTCCATCATTTGAAAATACTTACCCAATTGTCTTTCCAAATCACAAAAAGCCAATGGACTGCTAACAAATCCAGAAATCTACATCTAGGATTGTCATTGGACCAGCATGTTAACATGCTAGCACATCCCATTATAAGACAAATCTTTAACTCTTCTTTCTCCCCTAGGTGTCTTTGATTCGATGCTCTAAAAATAGTTGAGCATAATTATAAATGTCAGTATTGTCCACCCAGAAAGCTCAACTGACTGGATGAAAAACACACCAAGCCAACATTGGACATCTGTCTTTGCAATGCTGGGTTCTTGAAATTTGCCCAGCCTGGTGCAAGTCTGCAGAGACAAACAATGATCCAAATGAAATGGTTTTTACAGCTCTAAGGATAAAAGTAAGTCATTGACATTAAAAAAAAAACCTGATAAAAATGCATTCTGCCTTGTGTTCAAGATGCTGCATGAGGTAAGTATTTTGGAATATTTATATAAATCAGATGACTTCAGCTAGCAACTGTTGCTATAAATGTTCGACTTTTTTAATTTTTAATTTAACTTTATTAAATCACTAAATAAAAATTAATCAAATTTATAACATACATAAAATTATCCAATAAAAATGAAAAAACAAAATTATACTAAACTGTAATCAAAAAAAGCTCAACCCACCACTGGGACCATTGGATGCACATTAAATCATTTACTCTTTCAAGAGGCTCCATCCCCCTTCCAAAATTGCAGTGAATTTGTGAAGGTTCAGAACCTTTCCCTTTTATTAATACATACTGATCCCCAAATATCATAAAAATATTCTTATTTATCAGACCCTTTTCACTTTAATATCACAATTTAATTTATCATTAATAGCTATATTCCAAACTTCTCTATACCAATCATTCCATTGATAATCATATTTTACTTTCCATTTCTTTGCTATCATTAATCTAACAGCTACTTTTTATTTCTTTAGTATTCCATCTCCATAGCTTTGCTTTTTTAAATGATGTAGTCCTCCCAAAGAAAGTATAGTCATTATTTTCTTGCTCCAGATAAGGTTCCACTGCAATAGTTTGTGTTGGGGGCAGGAGGGAGAGAATGAAGCTTTGCTAGCACTTCTTTTGCAATTGGTGGAGCAGTTTATAGTATGTTTGAAAAAGAGACAGAGACAGAGGTGAATGTCAGCAAAGATTCCCCCACTCCATTTGAAAATAGTTACCCAGTTGACTTTCCTCATCACAAGAGCCAAAGATGTTGCTTTTAGTCTATTGTTTTAATGGAATAAAACTGCACTAACTTACAGCTATAATTGCCATTGTACCCCATCCCATGCACTAATACCTCCACCATATGATCTTTTCTCCCTTTATATCTTTTTATTAAAAGTCCTCCTTGTTTTTCTTAAGGTTTTATGACAGTGCTGGAAGTGGCAACACACAGCGCTTCCCTCAATATGAAAGAAAAAAGATGTTTGTCAGTGTTGTATTGTCACTTCCTGAAATACACACACATAAACGTTGCAGTGGTAAGATTGCTAGAAACTTGGGTCTGGAGGAGGTCTTCAGCAAATAGCCCCAGAGAGCAGTGGGGAGGGATAATTTGAAATAAGAGGTTGTGGATAGGCAGCTGATGAGTAACTCTTTTCCCCACAGCCCCTTCTCTCCACCTGCTGCCCTTGTGGCTTATTCACAATTCTACTTCAGGAAGAAAGAGTGGTTCAAGGAAATGGCTTGCAAAGGGAAATTAGCGGCACTTCCACATCCTGCCTATCCTTTCCCTGATTGAAATTCCCTTGCTACTTCTCAGACCTCAGTGTTTGGGCTTCTGGCTGATTGATAGCAGGAGCTCCTCAGATGGTTATAAGCTCTCTAGGTGGATCTGAAGCCAAACCACACTTATTCCCAGCTTGGGTCACAGTATGGAAATTACAGTATGGAAATACTGTTACGGTTGCTGCTGCTATACCACCCATGCTGCTGCTGATGATGATGATAGTAATAATATTGGCCTATCTTACAAGATTGCTGTAAGAATTTGAGACAATATATGTAGGTCATTATGAGAACTTTGCTGTGCTACAATAAATAGTGAAATCCTATACACATTTTCTAAGAGGTAAGCTCTGTTTAGTTCAGAGGTAACCAGGTACAGGTCTGCATCCTAACCCTTAATCTACTATTATGACCACCCATGTGGTCAGTTTTTCATTTGATGATTTTCATTTACTGATGTGAGTCCCCACCAGTCAGGAAGCAATATGCTCAGGGTAATACAGAAACTTACAACTTTCAATGTGCATTACATTTTTCACCTTAAAGTTATAATCCTGGCTGCCTTTGCTCTCCGTAAGTGCCAGTGAGATAAGTGGGTTGTACTTCTGAGTAAACTTGATTAGGATTGGGCTGTAAGTCTAAACAGTCTGTCCAAATAGCATTTTGCATTACTTGCCATAGAAACATCTGGATTGGCAAGTACATGTTTTAGAATTTTTGTTATTTATATTGAGGTTTTTGTAAGTGGTCCTGAGGCTGTGGCAAAGGATAGCATATAAATGTTTTAATAATAATAAATAAATAAATTGAGATTTGTGTCTTGGATAGCAAAGATGAAAAAGTACAAAGCAAACAGAATTTTGTTGCCATGTTTGTTTGGGCTGTCACAGTTCTGCTCCATGAGTTGTTTCTTTTTGCAATTAGCAGGTGGCTGAAATCAATTTCCTCAGTGTCTGCTTGCCTCATTATTAGAATCCCCAAAAGATTTGCTGATATACTGAAAGATAGTTTGTAAGTAGCCCTTTTATTGTGTCATTCACTGAGTCTTTCTGGCAGAAGCTGTTTTTAGGAATCTCTTTCAGCATTACTTTATGTAAAAAAGCAACATGAATGAACTGAATGATATGTATGGACTCCCACAAGAGCTGGGAAACACTGAACGGTGCATCTTGTTTTTTGTCTGAAATCATGGCCAGTTGAGTACCTGTAATGTCCATGTAACTGGCCTGATCTGCATTGAAGATACTTGGGCATTAGTACAAACACGCAGTAGCCTTATTTTACAGGGATAGCCACCTGAGGAAAGGCAAAATGCATGTGACTCGAAAACCTCCCAAATACAGTTGTTGCAGTTGCTGGCAGATAGGTCATGTGTGCACTCCTGTGTGTCTCTTTCTCATTGGAAAATGAATTGCATTCCCCATGAGAGCTGCAGTCCCCAGCTTGTTCTTTCTTAGCAACAACAATGCCTCTCATTTCACATTCCAGCACAATGAGCCGCCGTGGCAACAACTGGGCCTACACTGAGGTCATCGACCTCCTGGATATATGGGGAGAGCAGAAGATCCAGAAGCTGCTTCAAAGCAGCTATAGAAATATGGACACCTTTCAGGTAATTGCAAGTGAAATGGCAAAGCGGGGACATGAACGTACTGCCCAGGAGTGCCGGAATAAGACCAAAACCATGCGACGGGATTACAAAAAGGCCAAGGACAACTCTTCTGGGGGTGGACGTATGACATGTCCTTTTTATGAGCAGCTCGATCAAATATTGGCTGGTGATTCTGGCTGTAATCACCCTAGGAGGCTACCAAATGTTGCAGCGCCAGAAGAATCATCAGGGGATACCAATTCCCCCTGTCCCATGGCAGAGGGAGTCATGCTGGGGGCAGCTGAGGACTACAGTGAGAGCCAGAATCAATTTTCCCCCTGTCTACCGATCTCTGACTCCAACACAGCCAGTCCCATGTTCTGTGTGACCAGGGCAACCTCCATGAAGCCTGCAAGCATGTCTTGGCCAGAAGCAAGTAAGAATTCTTCTTTGTTTCTCTGCAAGAAACTGGCTACAAAATTGCACCTGGCCATTGGTCACAATGTGCTTTTGTGCATTAGTCCTATTGACCTGGAATTGCTATTGCTAGATCATGTGTATTTGTAATTCATACAGTCTTTTTTGAGTGTGCTAGAAGTGACTCATGTAACTCCCAGGAATCCAGGTAGTTCATTGTTCAGAAGTTCCAGAATGGGTAAATATATGGCAGGAATAAGAATCATCAGAGAGAGAGAGCGTGCAAGCACTTCATGGGCTTCTGAGATAAAAATTCAGCAGAAAACTATAGTGGAAGGCTGAAAGACTCAAATACGGCTTGTTTTCCAGTTAAATTTTGTTGGACAATAAAAGCAACTCCACACACCTCCAGACAATAGGAGGCCATAGAAAGCACAGTGTATCAACAGCTCTTTGCCTTGTTTATCCCCCTTCTTGTCCCTTTAGTTGACTGGTTCCTTTCTCCTACTCCTTCCTTCTCTCTTGCCTCTGTAATAAACAACATGCTCTCTCTCTCAGAGAAGCGGCTGACTAGACCTCATGCCTTCACTTAAACCGGGCTAAATGGCTTTCTTTAATGATGATTATTTGGCTGCCCAGAGAGCCTGATGTTACTGAGTGGCTTCCAAACAAATTCAATCAATCAGCAAGCAAGCAGGCACCAGTAAAATTGATCTGATCAGCTTCCAAATTGTGTTTATTCTGCTAACACACAATGCTGTGCTACTGTGCTTTCTTTCTGTAAGGCAACAGCGCTGTTAGTTGCACAAGTCTTTCCAACAAATTTTTGCACTTAGTAGCACCGTCACGGTTGGGACTTGGGAGAGCCACCCGATAATGGCACTGATGTCATTGTATTGGTGTTTGATGTTTTTAGAGTTGCTGGCATCATATGGCAATTTGTGTCCTCTTTTTAATATGTATCTGTGTGTGCCTTCAGATGTGCCTCTGTCACCCTCATCAGCCTTACTGCACAGCTGTGGGTCTCTTCCTCCTGAAGGGCGCCTGACCAGAGTCCGAAAGCGGCAAAGGAAAACCAGGAACGACCTGGTCATGGAATTGTCCCGAATAGCGGACAGGAGGGTCCAGACAGCCACCGACAGGATCTTATCATCCTTGAACAGGTATGCCACAGCAGACCTGCAGGACCGGGAGAGGGACCGGGCAGACACGGCACAGATCATCGCCATCATGCACCGCCAGACAGAACTGCTGGAGTCACTGGTGCAGATGCAATCCTCTGAGCAGATGCTGGGCCCTCCTGCCCCCTTGTGGCATGCCCGACCACGCTCAGCCATTTCTCCTCCGACCCGCTCAGGTGTCCCAAGGCGGACACTGCTGCCTAGAGTGAACCCCAGGAGGCGGCCACAGAAGTACAGCCCTTGAGGACACTTGCAGTTTTGGCTCCAAGTCTGGTCTTTGTAGCATCAACTTTTGCCCTCCTTTGGCCTTCTCGTCTGCTTTCTATTTCTTAAAACATTATAACATTGAATCCCTGCCTTCCCCATTTCCATGTTACTTGAAGAGCATTCCATGCTGGGAAGAGGTACACACACTGAATAATTGGGACAAGCAGGAGATTGGCGGTCTGCTTCTACATGGCCCTTTTCCCACTTTGGATTGGTGTGGCCAACTTTCCTTTTCTATTCCAGATGGGATGAAGATGCAGTTACAGACATATATGTGAAAATGTGTATCTCACAGAGAATGACTAACACAATATAAGCTATTATTAAGCATGTATTTAGTTGAAGTTCAATGCAAATAGTCCTTTCCCAAAGAGCTCTGAACATCTTCTCACATTGGCTTGCCACACTTTGGTACCTTTGCATGGATCAGGAAAGCAAGAAGGATACCTTGTTTCATCTACTCTCTCCCTGTTGTCCTTTTTGTGATGCATAAAAATAGGTACCATTTTCCTTCCTAATAGAAAGCGTGATTCCTGCAATGCAGGATGGTGTGGCCTCAATAGTGCTTCTCTTCTCCCATCTATGCTGCGGACAAGCGATAGATTCCTGTGTGCTGAAGCCAGTGGTGCACATGGGCTTTTAAAATCATGGTGAAGACCATGCCCTCACGGTTTAGGTGAGGTTGATGGGCTGGCTGTAGAAGGAAAGCATTTCATATGACAGAAGGAGTGATGAAAGTTTGAAGGAGGAAGTAGAAATGATTTCATCAATGGAAGGTATCTTATTCCAGGTGAAGTGAGAGATGCACATTAGAGATGAGGACAGCGGTGTGAAAAGGAGACATGGCAGGCCGATTGCCATTGAGTTTCCTTCAGAGTGAGTATAGAAAGATAAGATAAAGTCATTGCAGAAAGGTGAAGAGCACTGTGTGGAGGCTAAAAGCTTCATGTTGGCTTGAGAGCAACAAGAAACAAGATAGTGCATGTTGGCAGTTGGCTCTTCAGTTCTGCAGCACCACTTTTTTTTAGTCTTGTGCTAATCATACCAGTTCCTTTGGACTAACTCTGAGAAGTACATGGAGTGGCATCACTCCCATCTGAGGTAGTGATGCTGAGCACACCAGTTGAACATGTCTGTCACTCTGCCTTTGCTCCTAGAAGCAACCATTCAAGAGCACCCTTGAAGAGAGAAGGGGAAGGATGCTACAAGAGCACATGGTGAGAAGTCCTATGGCCATTCGGCATAATGCTCTTAAGTGAACAGTTGTCCGATTACACCTGAAATATATAAGTTGCAGTGGATGAGAGCAGGCATTGTTGATCTGTCTAGGGATTCTTCAATGAGATGCTCAGTCATAGTGGACAGACTTTTCCTGAAAAACAACATGTTTAATACAATAATCATCCCCCGATACAGGATATTCAAGGACAGCCTTCCTCAGCCCAGTGTCCTCCAGATGTTTTGGAGTTGTTTCCCCCAGCCCGATTCAGCTTGGACAATTGCCAGAATGTTGTGACTTGTAGTGAAAACTATCTGGAGGGCACATCCTTGCAGATCACATGGGGTAATGTAAGAGGCCCTACAGGCTTGGTCAGTGCTCCAGAGGGACTGTATAAGCCCTACAACATCCCCTAACATATTAGAAGATGCTTAGGAAGAAACCTATCAATGTAAAAAGGAAGTGGGAAGTTTAAAACACTTCTTGACATGTGAGTGGCAGCCAAATTGAGAGCATCAAATGCTGCTTCACTAGTTCTCAAAAATAACAGCTGAATTCAGCATCTGCAGGGAGACATCTTGCAGATCCCACAACTGGTACCAATGTTTTGGACATCAGTTCCTGTCAGCCATGTGCAGCATAGCCAATGGTCAGGAATGCTGACAGATGGAGTCCACAACATCTGGAGGGCACCTGATTGAGGAAATTTTTAGATAATAAATAGGGAGCAAACGAGGAACAATCTAGAAAAATGATATATATTGTAAATGTGTATGGCAACTGGTAGAAGTTTTGACAGCCTGGGTGTGTGAGGTCTCATGTTTCACCAAGATTCCAGGTGAGCATAAGTTTCTGGTAAGAAACCTGCATTGTATTTCACTTTCTTTTGTCTTAGCAAATTCCTGTACATTGCTGGCTTGAATGATAAATCCTGCTCCATAAAGTCTTAGTTTGAAACCAAACTGGTCTCCCTCTTTTTCTATGGAAACTGAAAGCTGCCTGCATTAAAAATGGGCTGCATGGAGCTTGAGGAAATGTTACAAAAACCTTTAGCTTTTAAACCTGAAGTCTTCTTATCAGGTATTATACCTGTGGACATTAGTAAACAAGAAATGTACTTGATTTTACATGTAATTACTGTGGCAAGGATTGCATTTGCTCAACACTGGAAAAGTGAAGAACTACCCACCGACAGACTGATTCTAAAAAAGATCTTGGACTGTGCAGAAATGGATAGATTGACTTTATCACTGAAGGAGAAAGAAGATACTGACTTCTATCAAACTTGGGACTCTTTATTATTGGCTAGAGAAACGGGACTTCGTATAGATTTAAATATGTTTTTAAGTTATCATTAATGGAAAAAAAATGTGGGGGCTGACCCAGCAGGCCTGATATTTTTGGTGATTGATGTTGTTTTTAGTTTTTCTTTGTTTTTAGGATTATAATTTCAAATAAAACTTATTAAAAAAATGGGCTGCATGGAAAGAGATTCATGCTTGCCTGGTGGAGGAGCTTTATGTAGGGTTAAGTGCTTCAGCCTTGAGAGCTAATGGAGGAAGAGAAGCTACACCAGCCTGGTCTGATGGGTTTGCTTAGGCAAAGAATTCCTCACCTAGGCAGCTACGTGCAACAGCAGACCTTCTTACTTCTCATGTTCTGTTTTGGTAGCAGGATTGGGTGGGTCAAGATAGGCAGAGCAAACAGAGAGCAGCAATAGCCCTGAGAACAAGTTAGGGTTAATGGAGCAGGGGTGTTACCTGAAGGCACCTTGCTCAAGTGTCCTATAGAGTCTGGGTATCTTAATATTCTGTTTTTATTGTATTTTAGCATATTGCTTTAACCACTTTAAATGGTTTCTGTAAATTTTCTTGAGTGCCTTTTTTAATGTGGAAAGGCAAAGTACAAATAAAACATATGGTGTAGTGGTTTGAATTTTAGATTGGGGCTTGGGTGATCAGGGTTTCAGTCTCCACTTGGCTATGAAGCTCACTAATCATTGACTTTCAGCTTATCCTACCTTATTGGGTTGCTGCGAAGAAAAAATGGAGAGGAGCCGCCTTGGATTTATTTCAAGAAGAAAAATGATGGGAGATCAATGTAAATAAATATAAAACACATCTAAAAATTCACTCAAATCTTGTCAGCATATCAGCTTTGTTATATATTTTGCCCAGTGGCTAGTAGCCAGAAGCTGAAACTTGGGACTTAGTTACAGCAAAGGAAATGCACTAGAGCTGAATAATATGAGTTCCTATCACATTCTGTAGATTTAAAGGGCCTCTTGAACGAATAAAAGAAAATCAGAATGATGTATTTACTCATATGAAAAGCACTATTGAGCTTTGGCAGCCTTTACCGAGAAGCTTTTCCTATTCCAGAAGGGGGCAGCAAAAGGCCAGTCCATTCCAGTCTTTAAAGGTTGCTTAGTCCACTTTGCTAGATACATAGGAATTAAAACATAGCCAAGTGGTCCCACCATCCAGTTCATTGTTTACAACAGTGACTGGCAGCAAATGAACTCTTTCATCAGGCATTTTGATGAAGGAGTTTGATTTCATTTTTCAAAAGTAGGGGGTGAAGCACTGTTTCCAGCAGTTTTGAGGGCTATCCTAGATACTACAGGGTCTCCAATTTAAATATCTGCAC